ATCCCGAGATTGATTAAAATTCCTAAACACTCTGTAGATACCTGTGTAAAAGTAATAATGTCACGACGCAAATAGAAGCTCTTCCTGCTGAAACTATTTTCGGGAACGTCGACGTCGACAAAAGTCGTAATTCAACGAGTCGCATCAACGGATTGTGACTGAATAGGAGCGAGTAAGAAATAGTGATGGGAAGAGAGAGTTTGCGGAAGGAAGAGAGAAAAAGAAAAACAATGCTTGCATTCTCGATGAATGGGTTCCAAAGCAAAACCGCTCCAACGACAGAGGAAGTGGAGCAATATTTTCGTAACCTAATGCCAAGAATACGAGCGACAAACTAATTCGGTTTGTGGAGATACATATATATAAAATATGAAATCTAAACAAAAAAGCTCGATCATTTATTTCTATATGAAAAAAAAGCTATTTCCGACATCCGCAGAGAATTTAAATTATTTTTTTCTCTTTTTTTCAGGTTTCAAAAAATAGAAACGAATTATTCTGACAATTTTTCCGAATAAAAAAATCTATTTTAAAATAATCAATAAAACAATTGGGTCAACTCTTAAACAATCATCGATGCTATCGCATTGCTTGCATCTTTTAAAATTTTCATATCATATGTTTCAGTAATATTTTAATTATTAAATTTATAAATTATTAAATAGCAAATTTAATCTTTTTCTAACAGAATAAAACATATACAAAATTTTCAAAAATTTGTCATCCTAATTCAGTTAGAAAAAAAATGAAAAAATTAATAAATCGTAAATAAAGTGCCATTATTTTAGTTTTTTATAATTTTATTTACTAACTTTATTATTATTACTGCTATTAATTACTAAAAAAATATAAAAAATGTCTTATATATTTCTCATAAATAATTTAAATAACGAATAGTCGCGAAATATAGTACTATTTTATGAACTGATGTTTGAAAAAGAGATGTTCTAAAGATCATGTTAAAGTGCATATTTTTTTAAATTCAAAAGAGTCGCGCAATAAAGCAAGATATTCTGCATTTCTGTCTCGCCTACGCGGATTCGCGAATAACGCACGGCAGTTCGCGAAGTGCCATTCGCAGAACAACTTGTAAACGAGTCGGGAAGAATCGATTCGACACGTTCTCGCGCGAAGGGTTGTTGGCAGATCGAGAAGGAGAAAGAAGAGAAAAATCCCGTGGCTCCGTCCTTTATACCGCCTAAAGACATGGTTAGGTTCTTCTTTTTCGTTTTCAAGAGCCACTGTGGATAATTGGGCCCGCACCCACGAAGAGCTCTCTGTTTCTTATCGTCCTCTCTTTCTTCCGCTCCCACGAAATCTTTCGATCCGACACGCACAAGAGGTGCACAAGAATGCGGCACGGTTGTCGTGCGTAAAATAATATACGCGAGAATGTAAAGCGCAATCGTGCAAGATAAATACAGTTAAGATAATTGAATAATCCTTCGATACAATATACATCACATACAATCACATATAATATACAGATATAAAAAACATGTTAATTTTTTCTCTTTTTCTTTCAGGTTTAAAAGAATAGAAACGAATTATTCTGACAATTTTTCCAAATAAAAAAATCTATTTTAAAATAATCGAATAAAACAATTGGATCAATCAATTACATTTATGAATTAAATAAATTGATATTCGAATTTATCTTTTGTGAGCTATAAAATATTTAATTTATTATTCAATATTTATTTCGTAAAATATAATACAGAAATAATTTTTGCATCGATTTTTACGAGCAATTTTGTGCATGTGTTTATTATACTGTGCTCATATTAAATGTGAACGTAGATTACATACTGATTATATACTGATTATTCCTGGTGTATATTGGCTAATAATAAAAAGCAAATTTTATGAAATAAGAGAAATCCTGTGTGTGTATGTGTGTATGCGCGCTTATTTCGAATATAATATAACTGTATTGTTTTAAATCCAATTTTCGTAGACAACATATTTCACAAACTCTAAATAGATTAATTAGAATTTCGTTCGTAGAAACCTCGCACACATAAATATCTTAACACGTAAATAATGCATAAATATCTTTAATATAATAATCGTAGATATATTTTTTACTGCAACAGTATGATTATTCAACTATCTTAATTATATTTTATTATTACTTATGCCGTTACCTCAATCAACTTCCCTCAATCTTATAACGATGTTACCTCAATCTTATAACGACGCCTATGATGTTCCTGTCTTCAAAATTCGTAGACAAAGTTATTTCCCGCGTAAACCATTGATGCTATTCGAAAAATATCGATGTATTTCCACAGGCGATACATAACACGTTACCTGTAATAATTATTCGGTTAGTTTATTGTGATAATTATTTCATTAGAAATTATGTAAATTTTTCACAAGTGATGCTATCATATCATTTCTTATGATTATCAACATAAAACCATGAATACAAAGAAAATGTTGATTTATATCTGCGTTTTTTAGCTAATATAAATACCAATAATAATTTTACGAAATAAAAAGCGGATCATATTTGTCTCAAATATATAATTATGTTATTTAATATATCTAATATAATAATCATAGATCTATTTTGTATTGCACATGATTATTCAATATTATTCATCTCATATTATTATTTGTGTTTTACCTCTTAATGATGCGCGTTCATCTATAAAATCGTACATATAAAATTCTTGCTCACACGTAAACTGTCAACAGTATTCGAAAAATATTGATTCCCACTCGCGATACATAAATCCATCGTAATAATTACTCGATTACTTTTTTAGACCGAATTTTCGTATATATTTTTTCCGAACGATTTTTCGCGCGCGCGATGCGTCCACCATTGCTCATGGTTACCGACATGAAGCCGTGACATCCTATGTGACGTAACCCGATTTCCGTATTTCCTGACTAATACAATGTCGCTAACTTCACGAGATAAAAGGGATCATATATTTATTTCGAGAATATAATCATGTTATTAAAATATCTTCGATACATTGAATACAATAAATTTATTTCATTGTAATAATATATGACTATTCAATTATGTCAATTATCTTTTATTATTGTGTCATTATTTGACTAGACTTATCTCGATCTTGTAGCGACACGTTTCTGCCCACGAAATATATCGCATACATAATATTGCTTTTATACGCATAAACTATTGACGATGTTCGAAAAATATTGATCAGTTTCCACTCGCGATACAAAACACATCGTGATTCTACCGTAATAATTACTCGATTACTTTTTTAGACCGAATTTTCGTATATATTTTTTCCGAACGATTTTTCGCGCGCGCGATGCGTCCACCATTGCTCATGGTTACCGACATGAAGTCGTGACATCCTATGTGACGTAACCCGATTTCCGTATTTCCTGATTAATACAATGTCGTTAACTTCACGAGATAAAAGGGATCATATATTTATTTCGAGAATATAACCATGTTATTAAAATATCTTCGATACATTGAATACAATAAATTTATTTCATTGCAATAATATATGACTATTCAATTATGTCAATTATCTTTTATTATTGCTTGTCATTATTTGACTAGACTTACCTCGATTTTATAGCGACACGTTTCTGCCCACGAAATATATCGCATACATAATATTGCTTTTATGCGCATAAACTATTGGCGATATTCGAAAAATATTGATCAGTTTCCACTCGCGATACGAAACACATCGTGATTCTACCGTAATAATTACTCGATTACTTTTTTAGACCGAATTTTCGTATATATTTTTTCCGAACGATTTTACGCGCGCGCGATGCGTCCACTATTGCTCATGGCTACCAACATGAAGTCGTGACATTTTGGCTGCGTTCCAAAATTCACTGCCTGTACACTATAGATTTTCAGTACTGGCAGTGAATTTTGGAACACAGCCTCTATGTGATGTAACTCAATTCCCGCGTTTCCTGAATAATACAAACGTCGCTAACTTCACGAGATAAAAGGAATCATATATTTCGAGAATATAACCATATTATTAAGATATCTTCAATACATTGAATACAATAAATTTATTTCATTGCAATAATATATGACTATTTAATTATCTCAATTATCTTTTATTATTGTTTATGTCATTATTTGACTAGACTTACTTCGATCTTGACGCTTTTCTGTCCACGAAATATATCGTATATATAATATTGCTTTTATACGTATAAACTATTGACGATATTCGAAAAATATTGATCAGTTTCCATTCGCGATACGTAACACATCATGATTCTACCGTAATAATTACTCGATTACTTTTTTAAACCAAATTTCCGTAGATTTTTTATCGGCTGATCCTGTGCACAACATACCTATTTGCCACTCATGATTACCAACATAAAAGTATAATCGCCTATTTGTCATTCATGATTACAAACATAAAAGTATAATCGAACACTACGATTGGCATCCTTTATAACGATAATTTCATGAATAAAATAAATTGTTTGATCTAATATATTATTATAATTATTACTCATCTTTAAATAAATATACCTTTAATAATTATACTAAGTTATAAACTATATATTTTTATAATCATCATTGTCGTATATAATTATTTTGAATTATTGATAACTATATTTTATACATTTAACTTATGTACAATATTATACTCTTATAATAGAGTAAAATAAGTATTAAAAAGAAATAAAAATTGCAACCGTAATTAAAAATATACTACTTAATTTAGAAAAATTATAATATATATATATATATATATATATATATATATATATATATATATATCTCAAATGCGTTTGTTAATCTTACATTTGATGTTTTTTACTTCCTTAATAAATATTCTTAAAATTCAACAATAAAGGTACAAAATTTTGCATTAAAAGATACAAAATCTTATAGAAGTGCATCTTTATTTGTTACATAATATTCATAAAAATTTTTAGATGAATAAATGCCTTTGATAAATGCGAATGACTTAAGTGTAACACTAATAATTTGGAAAATAAAAAATTAACAATGATTTATATCAAACAGTATTTTATATTAGCTATGTATTCTCATAATTTTCACACATTTTCTTCTGGCTAAATATATAAATACATATATATAAATTTGCAAAATCTGTGAAGATGAAAACATGAATTTCTTAATTAATAAATCTTGAATATTAATATTTCCATAAATTAATGATGTATACATTGATAAGCACCTCAAGCTGAATATATAAAAAATTTTCATATATAATTTCTATATAAATCCCTATATAGTAGAAATTATTTTCAGACCTATATTCTTTATGATTCTGTTGATTCTTGTTGTTCAAACAAGGGATATTTTGTCTTCACCTTTACCCAAGTAGTTCTTCCATAGGAAAGATCTCTCACAACATCAGGCAATTCATCTAACTATAATTGAACATTTCATTATATTAAGAATAACAATTAAAAAAAGCAAAATAATTTGTTTTAATGCTTATTTTAATAGCAATTATTAAATTATTCTTCTTTGAATAATCAAGATTTATATATATGCAAGTTTTACATATAAATGTATAGTTTTTTATTCATAACAGAAAAATACATACGTTTATCCGAACTTGTTCCATGCTGTCTCTATCTCTGAGTGTTGCGCTGTGAGGCACCTTCAAGGAATCAAAATCGATAGTAATGCCAAATGGTATCGCTATTTCGTCAGTACGAGCATATCTGCGTCCTATGCTGCCGGAAGAATCGTCCACTTTGTGCGAGACTTCCGCTTTCGTAAGATCTTGGGCTGTAAAATATTATTAATATATATAATCATCTTTACAAGTTAGATAGTATTTATAGATAGTTATTATCTTTTATTTATATTTTCTAATAAAACCAAAGATAAAATCAAAGAAAAAACAAAAAAATATAAAAAAAATTTATTCTGATATCAGTATAACATAATTAGTGTTTCACTTACATAATTTTTTTACAAACGGCACGAATTCCTCATTACCACTGAGTGGCAACACCGCACACTTCAACGGCGCTATTACTGATGGGAGAGAAAAATATGTCCTCTTCTCGTCATCTTTTCTTGCTTTGAAATTATGTTCAAATAAGGTGTACATGATGCGACCGATGCCGAAAGAAGGCTCGATCACCGAGGGTATGATCTCTTCAACATGAACGGTCTTTTGATAACGTTTTACTTCTATCATAGCTTTGGTGATCTGTACACTGGTATGATTAGGCAGTTCCAATGTTTTTTCTCCACTCTCCGTGAGAACTTTTTCTAAGGCTACAATCTCATCTTCACTTAACTTTGCCAACATGTCTAGAATAGCTTTACTGTATTGCTTAAAAGTTTTACCGATCAATACCTTGTCTGGCACGATCTCACAAACATCCACAGTTTTCGGGGCAGGCAATTTTTTTTCCGCTACTAGTTTCACGCCGGTGGCCTCAGTATGCTGTCTCAAATCGTAGGCTGATCGGTCAGCGCATCCTACACACTCTACCCATCCGTACGAAGTCAGACATTCGGCGTCCCAACAATCGCTAGCATAATGTGCCATTTCAGTGCTCATGTGTTGACGGAATCGTAACCGACTCGAATCGACGCCAATCTTCACCAGGAACTGATAAATTCTAGCCATATAATAACCTAGCGTTTCATTAGCTACCAAGCCGGTTGAAACGGCGTCGCCTATAGTAATATCTTGCGCTCTTATACCATCCATCTGATTGCAAGCCGAATACAGCAGCATGCTTATATCCTCTACTGTTTTGAACTTGGGATGACTTTTATCACTTGGATCGCAAAAATGCTCGATCTCTGCCATGGTGAATTCTCGAACACGTATGAGACCAGATCGTGGCGAAATTTCGTTCCTGAAAGCGTTGCCGATTTGTGCTGCAGCAAATGGTAACCGCTCCTGATTGAATGCCAGCAATCTTTTAAAATTCACGAAGATACCTTGAGCTGTTTCTGGTCTTAAGAAAGCCTTGACAAGTCCAGATGGTCCAATTTGAGTACCAAACATCAGGTTGAATTCTACTGGCTCCGATAAATCATTACCAGTAACTGGTGATTTCATGTTATATTTCCGTAGAACAGTAATCATTTGATCCTCTGTCATGCCATCAAGTTTGGTGATGATATTTCTACATTCTTGACGTGTCTCTTCACTTGTTTTCTTATCGCAAATTATCTTTTCTAGATGTGCTTTGATCAAATGATCCAATCGAAAGCATTCGCCAGTTTTCATATCTTTCACCATCACATCGGCGAATCGATCCACATGGCCGGATGCCTTTAATACTGGCTCAGGTGTCAAAATGGAACAATCAACCTCAAGCATCTGTTCCTCCAAAACAAAAAAATTTCTCCAAACATTAATCAAGTTTGTTTTCAGGGAACAGCCCATAGGTCCAAAGTCATATTGACCTGTGATGCCTCCATAAATAGCAAAGGATTGATCTAGATAAAATCTACGTTTTAAGAGATCCTCCATCCTTGCCCTGTCAAATGTTATATGATTGAAAGCTAAAGACAGTTCCTTATCTTCTAGTATCTTTTTGCGCGACTTCAATTCTGCAACAGCTTTTTTGATGTCCAATTCTGGAGCGCCATTTGATTTTAACTTCCGTACATAATCACCCTGCAAAGAACAATATCTTGTGAAAAAAATAATCACAAGTAATTAAATGAAATTAAAGTATGATGCAATAGTATAAAAACATACAGCATATTTAACATAATAATTTTTAAAAGATACTTGTTATCCATTTTACAAAATTGTTAATATTCAAAGTTATTATTTCTGCTCAAGTATTAATTCTGCTCAAACCATTAGAAATTTGACAATATTACAAGATTCCTTCAAGATTTCAATTTCTACTTTGCATCCATATGGCACTCACTTGTTCCTTGACGTCGGCGCGGAGTTTTGTCAGAGCTTCCTCGACTTTAGGATCCATCATATCGAGCGCGAGGGCAATCTTTAGCTTTCTATTCGCCTTTTTGGTGCCCCACTGGCTGAAATCGAATAAGCTGACAGTAGTAGCGACGTTTCTGACAGGTAGCCTAATAAGTGAAGGGTTGCTGAAAACGAGATGCGCCCGTATTCTACGGGCGATATGATGCAAACTGCGCTTGAGAAGCTGCATTCGCTGCGAAAGTGAATGCGCTGTGCACTTTCACGCATTCGCCATGCCGTTTTATCAGATTTGTTAGGTTAGATTATTCAAGGTACTTTTAAGGCGCCTTTTCATTTCAAGGCTCATTTTCAAAAGACGTCACGTGACTAAAAATAAAGTGTTCATTTAGAATTTGTTTCGACGCGGGAAATTCAAGTTGATATAATTTGAAATTAATTTCTGAATTATATGACTGGTAATTAATACCAGAAAAATTAATCTTATAACAGGTGTCGATTTTATTAATTATCTATTTCATTTATTAACGAGTTTTATTTCACTTAATTAATTATTTTTTTCGTCAAGTATTCGCCAATAAATGTAATATAAAAAAAATTATTAACAGGTCATCTACTTAATACTAACCATCTATACTTACTATTCATTTTGTAACTAAAAATATCCTGAATCATAGAATAAATAGTAGATAGTTATTATCTCATAAAATTATCTTTAATTATCAGATAAATATTAGACATAGATGGTTTATTCATTAATTTTACTTTATAATTAATAATAATTTAATAATTTTTTTATTATCGATAAAAATTCGACGAAAAGAATAATTAATTAATGAAAATATATAATTAAAGAAAATAATGCTAATAGTGATGTAACAAACATAGGTAATACTGTTACCTATGTTTAACTTCCTATTTATACTTTTTTTTAAATAATTAAGCCAAAAGATATTGATTAAAGATACTGATCTGGATCCACTAGAGAGAAATATTTCTTTTTCAAATAAAGAACTTATTACAAAATAATTCAAATTAGAAAAGATCTCTCTAGAAAGTTCACTATTACTATATGCTTCCTTATTATATATATATATATATATATATATATATATATATATATATATATATATATGATTTATTTATATACAATGACGCAATAAATCTCAAATCTTATCCACTGCAACAGAGAACAAACCCGTTTAATATATGTATATGTATATCGAGAATACTTTTATTTTATTAATTAATTATCTCATCTTATGTATCATATACACCGTAGCGCGATTTATAGAAAAATCACAATTAGAAAACGTGAAGTTTGTGAAAAAAGAAATAGAGATTGCGACACGAGCGTTATTTTATTCCTCTTCGCTGGCAAATTTATTATAACTTTTCGATAAATCCAGTTTTTGTGTGTAACATGTATTTAATCATCCTATCGTGTGTATACACAGCAAAAATTTTACCACGTCGATACAGAGAATTTCGGACTGAAAGACAGATCTCTCTCGTACTAATCAGATGAATCTGTTTACTTATAATCCCATAATAAGTCGACATATAATCATCCCTTATGCATTTACTAAGCATTTTTACATGTACACTGCGGCGCGTATTCTAGCCGTACGCTAAAGGCAGCTGCCTCTGATGCTTTCATTACAATCATCATTACAATTGAATCTTACATATAATCGTAAATCTAAGCTGCAAAATTTTGTTTTTTTTTTTTTTGCACATAGAGAACATTTTCCGATATTCCTAATTTATTTGGTATATCGAGAATTCTAAACGTCTTTGCGAATCTTACATTTTAATTTCAAAATCTCTTATACTTATAGACTTTCTCTTTCTACAATTTTTGAAACTTTTTATGAGCAGAATAAAGAACTGTGAAGTTTTTATTTAATTATCTACTGAACAATTTTATATACCTCACATTAAGTTTCATTGTTATTTATCAGACAAGAGTAGCTTTTTTTTTAAATAAAATCAGACGGCCACGTTTAGCGTTAAATGTGCGGCGAAAATACGGGCTTATGAGCTAATTCCTGTTTTTGGTCACAGATGTAAAAATGAATGTTATAAAAAAAAAATATATATATATATGTAGGCTCTCATTTTTCTCTTTTTCTTTATCTCTTCCCGCCCCCTTCCTCTCTCTCTTTCTCTCGCTTTCTACATAACAATAGCATGATGGAAACAATTTCTTTTCTCATCGGTGTAAACAATTTATTTTACATAAAAGCAATACTCTGACATCAAAAAAAAGCGGTCATAATGGCTAATGTATAATAATAAATAAAATATGAAATGTAAATGATGGATATTTACAGATATGCAAATGGCAAAAAAACTATAACAGAGAAGAAATATATTTTGCTCTTATGCAAATATATAAGCCGCTTGTTCTGAGAGCGGTGCAAGTTAATCCCGAAAGTCTCACTAAATGCACATATCGCTTCTGGAGATTCACATCTTAATTACAAATTCATTAATCCGTACACTCATCTTCATCTTTTTTTTTTATTATTTATCGTTAAACGTTATGAAAATATCAAGTCGCATATTAACTTGTATATATTCACAACCCACTCGTATATATTCAACACTAAATAAAACGTTAAGTGTATGAATACAGCTCTTAAATAATTGCATTTATAAATATAACATGAAATGCAATTATTGTAAAGTGCACGAATAAAACTCGAAATCGGGTCACCGCATTTAGCGCAAAATGTAGTCATATAATTCTTCAGCTTACACAGGTAACATCGAATGCGTGTAACATCACATTTTTTTATGTTACATAAAACAAAACTCAACAGTCACATTTAGTCACTAAATGCGGGATGTGAATGTTGTTACTTCGTAACTGAATTTTGCAACGCTTTCAGAACGGATGGCTCTCGCGAGCGTTTTACACGACAGGCTCTTTGTCGGCTGTTTGCGAAGGATTGCACAGCTTACTTGCGCTAAACGTAACACCTGTACACTTAGAACCTACAAAACGTGTGTGGCCGCAAAGCGTCCCAAGTAAACGCTGAGGACGCCGAGGTCTCTTTGTGCGGCAAACAGACGACACTGAGACCGGCCACGGAGACACAGTATACTATAATTATATATATCCAGCATGAACGCTTATTTCGCTAGAATAATTCGCCTATAATCAGAGGTATTCAACCTACAGTACTCTCGGAAGAGTAATTCTCATACATTCTAAGAGAAAATCTTAAGAACTTTGACTATAATAAGGAAATATAAAGAAAAATGTTTATAAAGTTTGTGTGAGGAGTTGGGTTCCCACAAAATATAAAGGAACATTGCACATATAAGGCAACATATGGCTTTAAATAAAAATATAAAGTATTATATTATATATAAAGAAGGATACAAAAATGGTTTTACAAAAATCTCTCAGATGAAGATATATATGTACATATATTCGGAAGTACAAAATTTTCTGAAAACATATCTGCAAAGATCTGAAGGAGATGCTTTCAGGATTACATTGCAAAAAGGGTTGAATACCACTGGTCCGTATAATGTATTACAGGGAGCACCATGATAAACCCGTGCGCGCCTCTGTGTCCCACTTGGAAAAATGGATTAGCCATCTCGTGCACCCGGATTGACTTACACTAAACGTAAATGCAACAATTTCGATCGAGCATCGCGAAGGCCGAGATTCTGGACCTGCTCGCGAAATTCCCGCAAAATCAAGGTCGGCGAGACTTTGATTCCGGACAAGAGCGCAAATTCGACACGAGATTATAATAAAATATCACAGTTCCGAGTCTCTGAAGAGTCGCTCCTGAAAATCATGGCTCTCCCTTTATGCTACGATTCCGAGATAATGTGAATTCCTTCTTTTAATCATAAGAGACATCCTAGTTAACAACAATCCTATGCTCTATTGTAAGATTATCTATTTCGGAAACCGTAACGATTAATAGTATAATACGTAATCCATATACAACTCGCTAGGGATGCTGTAGACTGTATTTACTGACTGTTAAATGTTTCAGGTGAATACTGTATGTACTTATGTTACGCGTATAAATATATATGTAAATGGAAAAAGATTCAAGATGACATGTAGATGTAGCGTAACGCATGCCACGAAGAATAGCAATTGATTTCGGCGCTCGTCGAGAAAATAAAAGAAACGATGATGCGCATCGTGAAAATGAAATTTACAGAAGAGTAATGCATGATGCAAATCAACTTGATTCTTTGTGATTCATTGCTCTTGCCTTGAAATCGCCTCCGAAGGAAGATTATTATTTAAATCAGATTTTTTCAAACAGGTATCGAAAAAATATTTTGAAATCCTTTAATCCAAGTAATAATTCCATTTGAAAAAGTGCAAAAAAATAAACTTTTTTATAATGAAAGAATTATTATTGGAAGAAAAATACATTTTATATTAAAATCACAATTATGATTCGAACAGAAATTATATTTTTCGAATGAAACTAAACGTATATTATATACAAATTAAATCTTTAGAAAAATAACTTCAGAATAGAATCAATGAATCGCCAAGAATTACATAATAGTCAAATGTATCGCTAATATATAAAATATATAATGTGATAGAATAGAAAAAAATGTTTCGATGGACAAGTACATTCTAATATATTTCATGCACGTGAATATTTTAACGAACACCTGCATTTTATAGTATAATTTCAAGTAATTCATCCTTACTTGCAAATCCATTATTCTTGCGTACCATTCGAGGGGGATCAATCGATTAATTTTCGTCAAAGATTTGTCATGGAAGTATATTTCTCATATATCTCACTCTTAAAAATTAAGAATCTCAGGTAGTAACAAGTTAAAAGTCACCTGGAAAATAAATTACAATAACTAAATTTAATTTTTAAACTTAATATATTACTTTTATTCTAAAACATTATCTTAATATCATAATCGAGTCATTAAAAAAAATATAAGTTCAAAAAAATCTCATAACTTTGCTTGATCATGTTATCATTACTAGTTTGTAAAAGTTTTATACAATTGAATGCCAGTGTCCAGTGTCGTCAGTCATGAGAATTTTGTTCTGTTCGAATGACTCTTTCCCCCTCTTTATGAGTTATATAAAAATGAGATAAACGGCTGAATGTAACTATGAAGCTAAATGATGTGTATAGCGTTTTTCACCTGTAATCACTTCAATCTTTAATCAAAGTTATACCAGTATCAGTAACTTATCAATTCCAACATTAAGAGACTATTGACAAAAGACTCGGCAAATGACATCATGCAAGTACAAAAAGTAGAAAAAATCGCAAAAAACGCAATTAATCGCGGTTACAGCGTGAAACATATCGCGATCCAAGTTGCATAGTCTAAGCATTCGTAAAAAATCTTACTTGACATCATCCTTATGAGACTGAAGGATCAAACAAAGAAGTGATTTGTTTTGCTCGCTCGACAGATACATTTTTTTCAGTAAAGTTAACTAGTGAACAAAGAACGCATCGCAAAAAACGGCTATTGACAGCCAAGTTAAAATATTCTGAACAGCTTAACAAATTGCACGGTTCAATGTTAATTAGGGTGATTACACTTATCCTTCTTGATTATCTTGTATATCAATAACGCAAACTACTCCAGTAATCCTCACAATTCAAAAACATATCTTCTTAATATATCTCAATATTTGTGACTAAATATTTACATCGATGCGTTTTACAGCTTCAGTCTATTAAGCTTCAGAGCCGCGGCTTTGCGATAATTTCCTCGCTCTTCATTATCCTTAACCTAGGATTACCCTTAGACATGTTGCTTCTTTATTGAGCGGGTGGCTGAGGCTCACTCGACATATTCGGATTCGGATACGGCAGAAAAGAATAGTTAGGATAGGGCGGCGGAGGATGCGGGAACGGCGAATAATAATTAGGAGGATGTGAGGAAGGAGGAGCGTATCCTCTGTGCATGTAAGGATCCGTCGAAGGTGGCGGACCATGAAACGCTGAATACATGCGAGCGTAATCCGTGTTGTAGCTCGGTCCACCGTATGCTGGATAACCGGGTGCACCTGCAAATTAATTTCGCCTTTAGTATTTTTATTTTTCTTAATAAATATAAACAAAAGAGAGCAACAATGCATTTCTTTAAAATATAAAAATTTCTTTAAAATAGAAAGATATTGTAAAAAATATACAAATCTAATATGAGATATATAAACAGATGATAAACCTTACTTTTTGTCTTATTTTACTTAAAAATGTAAGATTCTCACCACCTGGAGGATACGCTGCGGATGAACCAGGCGCCGGTGGATAATGCTGCGAGTATGGATCGTACGGACCCGGTGGATACGGACCCGGATATCGCGTGCTAGTTGGATGACTAAACGCGGTAGGTATATGCGCAGTCTCATCTCTACTCAAGGAGGCCACCGTGGTGGTCACGGCTATTGCGGTATCCGTACCCTTAGACTCCGTTGCGGAGTTACTCGTTAGCGGTTTGGCAGTAATGCTTGATACTTGCGAAGAATAAGCGGTAGGCACGTTCATTACGTTCCTCTCGTCCGTAGGCTTTCCTAGATCCGGCTGAGGCTTCGTCGTGTCTATTGGCAGTCTGCTGCTGGGATTCGCCGTATGTGGTGGAACGCTGGGAAAGTAAGTCCCGTAAGGATTAGATAGCGACCGAGATCGTGGATCACTGTAATCGTAGTATCTCGGATATTGGGCGTAAGGATATCCTTGGGGTATCGGCGTTGTTGGGTCTCCCTGAATCATATTATCTCGCATATTCGGAATCGTCTCGGCGCTCTTCGGAGAAGTAATATTAGTGTTGGTGCATACTGAGACAGTCGATGATGCGACGACGGGTGATTCAACATTGTTTTTATGTGTTTCCGGAGCTCTTACAGGTACAGATAGTACAGGCGGCATCGACGACATCGATGGCATTGATGACACTGACGGCATCGATGGCACCGACGGTATCGCCGGCACCGGCGGCATCGATGGTACCGACGACATCGACATGCTCGATGCTATTGACATGCTTGATGGCATAGTTGACGACATGCTCGATGATATGCTCGATGGCACGTTCGATGACATACTTGACGGTACACTTGAAGGCATACTTGACGGTATTGACATGCTTGATGTTACTGGAATATTCGGCAACACCGACATAGTTGATGGTACCGGCCCGGCTGACGGCACTGGTGACGGTATTAACAGAGATGATGGAATCGATCCAGGAGTGCCCACGTGCGTTTGTGTCGCGACCTGTGGCGTCACCTGCGGCGATTCCTCGATGATAATATCGTCATTGGAAGTGTCTCGCTTTTCTGTCTGGCTGTGAAAAGACCGACCATAATTCGTTAATGTGTCTGGCTTGGGAGGCTCCTTCTCTGGTGGTGAACATTGCTTGTCGACAGTCGACGGCAGTTCCGATTCAGGTTGGTCGTGTTGTGTTTGCACGCTTTGCACTAAGGAAACAGTATCGGGTGTATAAACTTGAGTGCCTTCTTCGGAAGATTTTGGCAAAGACGTGTCTGTATCCGAATTGGTGGTACGAGTATGATTAGATGGACTGTATTCGGTGTTCGAGCTCACTTCAGCCACTACATCTTCCAATCTAACTTCCTCAACTCGTTGCTCAGTTCTTAGTTGACCATCGGATGAATTAGAATTGTCTCCGAGCGTAGAATGATCCACCGGTTCTTGTTTTACTTTCGGTAACCTCGACAGAGAAACCTGGTTAGTCAAGTTTACTTGACTCAGATAAGGTTTGGCAGCCGCTGTAGCGACTGGTTTCGGTCTCTTAGAAATTTCTTTATCGCCGAATGGCTTATAACCCGAAGCCGGTGATGGCTTATTGGGCAGTCGATTACCAGTCTGGTTACTCGAAGATGATTTGGGTATTATAGAAATGGCAGAGTTATTTCGTAAAGGGAAGCCAACTTCAGGTTTAGAATTTCTCTGTATCATCGAGGAAACACCTGCCAAACATAAAATGTCAAATTTTCAAATGATACAATGCTTATATATACAAATATAATACAATATATAATAAATTAGTCATCAATAATATATTAATTCACCTTTCTTTGGCTCCTCCTCTCGCTTTTGCTGATTCAATTTAAGCGCAGTGCGAATTGCTATAATTTTGCCAGATTCAAGCTGCATGTAAATGCCTTTCGGACTCTTCAACACCATTACTCGTTGCCCCGCTTTTAAAACAATACTTCCTTTGTCTGGAGAATTAGTCGGAATAACTACATCCAAAGGTAGTGTCATCTCTTGCGCGCTCATTCCTTGTCTTTGCCACACCTCTGCTGGAATCCATCTGCTACCAGTTACATTCCGTGGACCTAATCCTTCAGCGCCTCGCTGTTGCATCGGTCTCACAGAAGCAACGGGTTTCGGTGTAGTGCCTCCTCCATCACCGCCGCGAATCGCTCTGATTTGTAATCCACCTGCTGAAATAAATAATCGCAATATATATAGTTAGCTTTTAATTTATAATTTTATAAATTAATTTATAATTTATAATTTTTTGCATATATAAATTATACCTCGTGTGGCTGTATTTCCTGGAACATAGTTATAACTCGGTCTCGAACAATTAGCTGCCATCTTCTCAAGCTCATAGCCGCGACGAGCCAATCGCTTCTCAGCCTGGCTAAGTTTTTTATCTTTTCGATCAACGAGCAAACTCTCGTGATGAAATGGTTGCTTGGTTAATAATGAGGAATGGCGTTCTAGAACGCAATGCATAACTTCGTCCGTGTAACTATCCTTAGTTTGCGAGAAATCTTGTACTTGGCTATCCTCTTCCCAATCCCATGACAATGTCGTCGCCTCTTTTAGCGAGAGATGCGCATCAGGATTGCACTGATCGACTACCCGATCCGCCATTCCTTGCTTGCTAATCTGTCGATCGTAGATCTTCCTTTCCAAACAATTATCAGTAACTAATCGATAAACGAAACACGGCTTTTGCTGACCGTATCTGTAAACTCTACACACTGCTTGCGTATCGTGGCACGGGTTCCAAGAAGCATCGAATACGATCGCGCGATTCGCACCGACGAGATTAATACCTAATGAACCAGCCCGTGTCGAAACTAGAAATAGATGAATCTTTGGATTATTGTTAAATTCGTTGATGAGTTTTTCACGCTCTAAAGCACTGGTGCTTCCATCTAATCTATAATAATTCACGTTCTTAATCCAAGCGTCAGTCTGGCCGTCTGGATGTTTTACGCTATTTCGTGCTAAAAAGTCTTCTATGAGATTCAACGTAAACAATGACTGCGAGAATGCAAGCACACGATCTCCCAGTTTGATAGCTTCCTCAAGGATGCAAAGGAAGATCACCATTTTCCCGGACGCGTCTATCAACCCGGGTATATAGTTCTTCATTAATTCTGTCGCCTGCAACAAAATTAGTTATAGTATCACACACACATATTGAAAGATATAAAATAATAATTCATGCTTATCCAAAATCAAACAAAAATTTATATTAATAAAAATATAAAATAAATAATATACATAAATATATACATATATAATTGTTTAAAAATTAAATAATTTATATATATATATATATATATATATATATATATATACTATAAAACAATTATTTAATTTTTAAACAATTTTTTAATTCATAATGTATTATATAAAATAAGCGAAATATATTCTAGTAATATTAATATACCCAGTCATATGGAATTCCGGGATCTTCTTTCCCAATAGGAGAACTCTTGCAATCTTTTTCCTCGTCTTTCGTGAGAATCTCATCATCAGATTTATCTTCTTTATCCTTTTCCAATTGATCTTCTTTTTCTCTCTCTTCCTCCTTTAATAATTCGCTTTGATTCAATCGAGGACTGTTCGTTGAATTAATTCCCTGTCCTGATTGTCTGGGTGCAGGAGTTGCCGAACTCTGACGATTCGATTCTGCGGTATAATTCAACGTACCAGTAAAATTACTCGGATGCATCGGTTGACTTTGTACGCCAATACTAGATGTCATATCTTTATTGTTTTTATCGCATGGTGGAGGATGAGTACTGGACTGCTGAGAAGTTTTCGCGGATTCATCAGACCGTGAGTTCATGTCCGAATTGTGATTAGTGTAATCGTACGATTGATTCGGATAATTTTGCGGTGGAAAGTAATTGTTCTGATAACGATTCACACCCGGGTTCATCTGATCTCTATAATACGAATCGTTGCACTGCTGATCCGATCGGAACGTTTGCGGATAATTACGTTGCCAATAGGGATCATCCGCATTCTTTATCTGTCCGAGCGACGTCGCCGAGTTTGAGCCATCCGATGAATAACTTGACATAACGGAGTTCTGTGTCTGCGGTTGATTGGCAGTATAGTTATTGCCGGAATTGCTAGCAGTACTTGCACTCGAGCGATCATTTGAAAACTCATTCGCAGTTGGAGCGTAACCTTGCGTTTGCTGCGACACCGCTGTCACGTCCGATCTGGAGTAAAGTTGATCATTCGGACCTATTGAGGGATTGGATTGTTGTTGTTGATTCGGTGGATATTGGGTCATAGTCTGATTCTGAGCCATTTGCGTCTGCTGTGCAGTGCCGTATCGATGAGCAGCAGGAATCTGCGATATCGGACCAGGATGATTTGACGAATACCCAGAGTGAGTCTGATTAGGTGGCACTGGACTCTGCTGACTCTGCTGATTCTGCTGAGGATATGACGTCGTCTGATTAGAAGCTGCTGCTTGAGACACCATATGATGTCCGTACCCTGCGTGGACTGCGTTCTGTGGATTCGATGCTGAACCTTGCTGATCCGGAGGATATCTATGCGTCTGATTCTGAGTGTTGACATTTGACGCGGGTTGATTAGCCGGATAATTGGACTGATTTTGCGGCACGTTTATTTGACCCTGTGGTGCTGGGGTATAGCCACGCATTGAACTCTGCGTTACAGGTCCTTGATTCGGTTGATTCGGCTGTATATAACCGTGAGATGAAGCCTGTGGCATCGGAGTTGTTGTTGCCTGATTGAACGCATGCTGCGGAGTTTGTGGCGGAGTTGGATTTACCTGCGTAGGATAGGCATGTGATTGACCTTGAAGGGGCATACCTTGAGGCTGCTGGCCGGTGTATGAATGAGATTGAGTCTGCAAGCTTAGATTCTGTTGATTCTGTTGGTTCGGCGAGAAGCCTCGATTTTGACCGGGTGGAGTATTTTGACCTTGCTGCGACGGCAGCAGATAGCCAGTCTGAGTTTGATTTTGAGTTGGAGGTTGACCTTGTGGTACAGAATAACCCATTGTTGTGTTCTGTAGTGGTTGCGCATCATTTCGTGGATATATCGGATTCGTCTGAGCCGGTGTCGGCGTGTAATTTTGATTTTGATTCGTGGTGTATGATGAGTAATCTGTTATCGGCATATTCGTAGATTGATTCGGCATTTGAGTCTGAAAAGATGGCTGATTGGGGACTTGGGAATAATTGTTAGGCCCTTGATTCAAATTCGGTGTATAATTACGTTGCTGATCCTGATAAGGATAACTTTGTCGTGAAAACATTCCCGGTGCCTCGTAATTGTTTCCTTGATTTTGATCCGATCTGAAGTCAGATCCAGCCGCTGTACCACCGTACCTCTGATTCGTCGGTTGCTCATTCGATTGCATGTAATTTTGTGATTGATTGGCGTATCCCTGTGATGTATTGTAGCCCGATGTTTGAGTATATGATTGAAAAGGTTGATTACCATATCTCTGTTGTCCTTGATTATTATAAAACTCTCCATGATTATATTCTCCGTGATTGTTATTATCATTCCTATAGTATGTGCTTTGATCGTTCGGACGGTAGTTCTGATAATTATGAGGAGGATAAGATCCCTGCTGCATAGAGTTGGAGTATCCCGAATTGGAAACCGGCATGGGATAATTAGTATAATTATTTTGCTTCGGTGTACTATGTGCAGCTTCAGTTTCTGCATTATCATTGCTGGATGATGAAGAAGCGTTCGGTTGTACGCTAGCCGCGGGTTTGTTCTTTATCGTCGTACCTTTCTTGGATTTCTTCGATTCGCCTTTTGACTGACGCGCTTTAGATTTCTTGCCACCTGCCGTAGCTTTCTCTCCAATCGTCTCTTCCAAATCCAAATCATCCTCCTCGTTCGCCTGACGTTTGCGAAGAAAATGATATAGAATATCTGGATGATTCCAGATCTTGCAACACACGGCAAAAGCTTTTAATGGATTCGGCACCGCGCGCGTTTTCACTACTTGATTCATGAATGTATCATATAATTTACGCTGATGAGGCGTCATTCTAATAAGCAGGATATATTCTTCCTTGCGCGGTAATGACATCTGCAATACGGAGTGAGATCTTCTCTGTACAAAACCTTCCAATAAAGCATGCAAAACATGCGCGCGATATCGCATCAAGCGTATATCCTGCGGTGTGGAATCGATACATTGGCCATTCTGTATCGGTCTCTCAAACATATTACAAAATTCGCTCTTAGTGCCCAGATAATTTGGTCTTACAAAATCTACCATACACCAATATTCTAAAAGATTATTCTGCAACGGATAACCGGTCAGGACAATCCTACGTTTCGTGCGCATCTGCTTCAATGCCATACTGATGCTAGCGTGTGAGTTCTTAATGCGATGACCTTCATCGCAGATTACTAAATCCGGTCCAGGATTCACAAGAGCTGTGTGCATTTCGTCCAACAGGCCTTTGTTCTTATCTTCTTCTTCTACGTCTACGGTATCCTTGAAAGGTTGACCGCGTTTTCGTTTCGCCTTATTGGGCTTCTTCAAAGATAATTGTCTGTACAATTCGTAGCCTATCAGCAGAACGCCACCAGTCGACTGCCATTCTTGGATCACCTTCGCTCTCGCTGTCATGGTTTTATGCGAATCATTTAGAATATGCAAGCCAAAGTGTCTAGGACGTACTTCCATGCCAATGGGCGTGTTTACACTGTATGGCGTCTTTACTTTCTCAATTGTTTCCTTCTTTTCCTCCGTCAACTCTTCCTTCGTTGTCGATGTACTCTCTTCTTTCTTAATCGTTTCTTCTGGTTCCTTCTTCACATTCACCTCCGCATTCTGAGACGGCTGCATTCCTCCTGACAGCATGTTTTCTCTCTTCGATTCTTGTTCCAATTCATGTTGATTAGTCTGACTGCCGTAACTCGCAAAAGTGCTAGAAGCGTTGTAGTTTGGATACATCGAGGTAGAATGATGATCACCCATGCCCGGATACATCGCCGCCACATTTCGATTCTCCATATCAGGATACATAGAATTACCCTGCGATCGATTCTCCATACCAGGATACATAACACCAATAGCTTGATGCTCCATGCCGAATTTTGGTCCCGTTATATTCTGTCCGGGCGGCATGCTATGGCAATTCATTCCTGGATCAGACTTCATTGGATCAGAGAAATTAGGAAGCGGATTCGGATTCGCGTTGTACAACGGATTCTGCGGTACCTCGCCCTGATGATAATTCGGTGGCATATGCGGCGCACGCGGCTCACTCATATTCTTATTCATCATAGGATCCTGCATATAACCTCCTGACATTATGTTACGCGGTTCATAACCATGATGAGGATTCACATAAGGATTCTCCGGCATAATATTCATCGGTTGTTGTGATGCAGCAACGGTGTCTTGACCGAAACGATGCGCAGATTCTGTGCTGATAGGCCGAGACATATTCGACATATCGCTTTGATTACCGCAACTTTCTTCTTTCATCTCGTGCTTCATATCCATTCCGGGTTCCATCTTGACATTTGTAGCCTTAGATTCTTTCTCGGCAGTAATGGCAGGATCTTCATACGGCAACCACATGTTAAATTCCGCCAGCCAATTCTGGAGCGTATTTATAGGCATGATGCAGAGAACAGTCTTGGCAGTGGTGCATCGAAAAAAAATGTCACAAAAACTAGCGATCTGGAGGGTTTTGCCCAAACCCATACTATGGGCGAGGATACAGCCAAAACCGCTACTAGTTTTGTACCTCTCAATAGTCTCGATAATGTTGTCAAAAAGAAAGCGTATACCGCCGATCTGATGCGGCTTGATGATGCGGGCCACTTGTGGTGCCAAGAATACGTCCGGTTCGGTCTCAGGATGGCCAACATTTATTAATACCCGTCCATGCTCATCCGGAACATTGTACCGATCATTGGTGTGCATGCCGGAATTAGATGGATCGTCCTCGTTGTCAGTTTCCTCTTCACCGCTGGGATCACTCAGGACTATACAATCATCGTCCGAACTCTCACTCGAACTGGATATCGTTACTACATCTTTACCTTTGGGCGGCCTTTGATACTTGGGTACGCCAGGCGTTTTTCGCATCGCATGTATTTGCTTTTCGCGTATCATCTCCTCAGCTTCTACATCAGACATCTCGGAGTCGGAATAATACTCCACACGGTCCATCGGTTCTTTCTTAGGCACCACTGGCGATATACTCACAGATGGTGTCATCATACGAATTCTTTGATGCAGCATATTGGGCGCACCTGAGCGATTTGGAACCCGCGAGATGGATGTTTGTGCTCCTTGGTAGCCGCCTCTGCCTTTCTGCCAACGCATCCCACTGTCCACCGATCTCCTTTGAATCTGTCCCGCTTGCATCCCGGCTGCCTGAGTGGTTTGAACACCGGTACCAGAGCCAGAATTCACTTTCAAAAGCACGGTGTTCGGCAAACGAACCTGGGTGGACGACGTAGTTGACGATGACGACGACGGAGAAGACGATTGCGAGATCATAGTGGTGCCAGCCTGATTTTGCTTTGCTTGTAAAAGGCTGATAACGCGTGTCTGCGTTTTATTGCTTTGCGCCCGGTTGATCGCTATTTGACGCTGCACCTCGCGGATGATTCTCTGTTGTTCCTGCACTCGCCTGAGACGTTCCATTTCCTGTCTTTGAGCGGAAAGCGTAGCCTCGTCAAGTTGCGCCTCGTCCATCACTTCCCGGATGTTTCTTCGCATGTTGGCTAATTTCTTTTCCGACTTTAACTCGCATTCTGATGAGTTGCCCTCTGTACTATCCTCCTTTTTCGCTTTTTTCTTCGCGCTGTCGGAATGATCGGAATCGGCATGTCTCTTGTTACTATCAGCGCCTTCCTCCCCCGCGGACTGTCCATCCGCTTTTTCATTATCCATGCTCTCCTCATCCTCCGAATCTTTCGATATCGGTTTTCCTAGTAAATCAGCCTCGGATACTTCCTGGCCTTCTATGGGCGCTCCTTTTGATAATACAAAGATAAAATAATTAAAATTTAATAATGTAATGCGATAAAGATATAATTTCACAATTTATCTCATTAAATATTTATTTATTATATCATGCTGTGTCATATTATATCACACTATTATAATGCATGCATACATACACCCACCAAAAACTATTATAAAAAATTTAAAAAACTATAATATTAAAAAGATTTGAAAGAGAAACATAATTATTTCTATTTTATAATTTATAAAAAGTAATACTGAGCACATATTTTTGGAACTCTTTGAAAGTTTGAATCTAGACTTATAATTTAAACTATTAATAATTAACTAAATCGATTTAATTATAATATAAAATTAGATTAAGTTAAAATAAATTTTTTCTATATTTTATTCTATTGATTAAGTTTAATGCTAATTATTTAAGTAATAAACTTTAATTAGAGTCATTAAATACAAAATCGTAAAATACTTACAATAATTTAATAAATAATAATAATAACAAATCTTATCATAATATAATATTTTAAATTAAATATGTTCAAATTGCAAGTGTATACTGATCTACATTTTTATGAGACCAACCTTCCAATGGCAAAGTATCCAAGATATTAACTTGTTCTTCATCATCCTCTTCTTGAGATGGATGATGTTGCTGCCTGTCTGAATCTATTCTAACACCGATCTGCGAGTCAATCGTTTCGTCCAGATCCATATCATCCCCCGAACCTTCGGAGCGTATCTCTTCTATTTCCTCGGATTGTAAAGCGTCGAGTTTCTTTTCCTGCTCTCCGTCTGTTGTTTCACCACTCGACTCATCCGAACTTTCATCATTCGCCGTCTGCGGTTCCGCATTCATGTTTGCACCAGTTGTAGTCTCATTCGTCATCATATTCGTTTCAATGGGCTTAGAGCCTCCGCGAGGAGTCACACGTTCGATTGTGACGTCCCCGATGCGTGTCAAAAAACTGTCCAGACTATTAGACATGGTGTGCACTGTCCATTAAGTCACAATGTATATCTTATTGATACATATCATATCATGGAATATCTCACACACATTTAAACATGATACTAATATCTATTGAGTTTAACACTCTCTTTACATGTCATTTAACACATTTCTTCTTTCCTGTAATAATATATAATCTTAATATCTATTATTTTATCAGATACATTAGTAAGAAACTGCCACTTGTTGACAAAGAGACAAGATATCAAATAATAAAATCTCTTAATCACAAAATTCTTACTATTTAATATTGTAGAAGCATGATATAAAATGAAATAATCCTATGAGAAAATATTTCTCAGAAAAAAAGATCAAAATTTTTAAAATAATAAAATGTTTTTTGTTTAATTCTATCAGTAACTTAAGCTTTACACAATATTGGAACGTATGTAAATAATTCAATAATACCATTGAAAAATACAAGTTTATATAAAAATATACAATAAACTTTATTTTGTCTAATAAAATAAACGATTCTATTAAATTAAATGTTTTAACTGAATATATTTGATAGCAGTAAAAATATATTTTCCTCAGTAAAAATTAACTTATATTTGTAAACAAAACAAGACATATGTAAAATTTAAAAAATATCCTAGAATATTCTATTTCAATTCGCAATGTAAAATGATATATTTATATATTAAGATATACATGTAAAAGTATGCAACAGTACTCACATAAATGTGACTTTTTAGGATCTTTTGGAAAATGCTGGTCAGCATTAGATATTAAATTTATCTCACAGAAAAAAACTTTGTAATCTCTCAGAATATTTCAATCTCTCAAAGTATTTAGCTAACTCGTAACATTCACTCACATATGAGAAAAAATTCTACATGCCAATAGCATCCGATAAATCTATGGAACACCAAGAGAGAACATTGAGAGATTTGCCAAGCGTAAATCTCACAGAATCTTTGTTTCAGAATCAATGTTTCAAGAATCACATAGTATGCAAAGACATACACACAATTTTTTACTCGACAGAGTATCCTCTCACAGCTTCCTTAGAAACTGACTGACCGCACTGTTCCTCAAACAAAAGACTCAGTCTAGGAACGATATCGCACACGTGAATCATATAATCTAAACATCCCGTTCGCGTATAGGGCACGCATAATCCACAGGTCCAGGATAACGGCCACGGTGACGATGACGGTGAGTAGCTGTCAAATGTAATCGCGAGGGGAAAAACAGAAGATAAGGGAATAGGCCAGAATGTTTGTTTACGTGTTTACACGATGAGTCCCCACTCGACCGTCCTTCCGTCTATCACCGCCTCGTCGTAGACGCGTCCCGGCGTTTCCGCTCACTCTCTCTCTTGCTTCACCTTCCTTGTCGATCCACCGCTTGATCGGCGATCACGCGCGCGCGACAGACGCCATGGCCGGCTCTGGCTCGCGCGTCCGATCCTCGCTCGTCGAGCGCTCTCGTAGCCGACGTAGAGCGACGTCACGGCGCCGTCGTTCCCCCGCGTGCAACGAGCTCGGTCGCAGCACCGGGTCGCGCTTCCATGCCAGTTCCCCAGGCAGGAGAGGGAGGAGGAGGCGAGGAGCCCGTCCGCGTCGCGCCGTCTCGCACCTCACCTCACCACGCCGTGTTCGCCGTCGTTCCCCGCGCACAACCACGCTTAGGTTAATGCCGAGTACCACTGCGATTACCGCGCGCTGCTCCCGAACTCCCGAGGGGCCCGATCCTCACGCGAGCACCCCGCGCGAAGCGTCGACGGCGCCCCGTGGCATTTTTTTTTCTCTCTTACCCTCACGCGTTCCTGCCCGACAGCGTACTCCGCTCGGCGAACGCCATCTTGACTGCACCACCGTCGTTGCACATCCGCCACGAATAAGCGCGCGAATGATGGCCCGCGGGATGCTGGCTGATCCAGGAACTAGGCGGGCGGTGTAGATGCGGCTCCGTCGAAGGACCGTATCGTACAGCAGGTTGTCGGGTGGAAAAATTCTATATTTTTTGTTACCCCTGGAAATATGTTTCTTTTCTAAGTACGAGTGAGATTTATTATTGCTTCAATATTGCTAGACATTTTTAAATGCAGCCTCTCGAGTTACACTCGGATCGTGATTTATCATTTACCGTGAAGCGACAAGGTCGCTAAGAGCATGGGACTTTCTAATCTTTCCGTTTGTTACATTATCGATGGTCTTCCATCACTGAAAACCGCGCATGTTTAAATATTCGATTAAAGCAATTATTCATTTGCGCATGCTATTTTTAGCGCGTTATGTATTTTTTTATCAGTATTAAAATATTATATTGAGGAAGGTCATATGATCAATATGTTAAAAATTCTTATTGATAGGAAAGATCTTCCTTTCTTGTTCAAAATTAAATTAAATAAACTTATTATTTTATATAACTTGAATCACTCTTATTTATGATTTAAGTTATATTAAAATGACAAAAAAGCATCTCAATTCTCTTCCTAAAGCTGCTATTGACAATTGGAAAAAGAAAGATAATTTATATCAATATATATCTCTTAATTTTCTTAAATAAAATAAAATGCATATATACATTATATTACAAATGACTTATAGTAAAGTAATTGCGTATTTAAAAAATTGACGCATATTACATACATACACACATATGCTCGCAGGTACATGTGTGTATGTAAGTATATTAAAAATTGTTCTATAAGGTTTCACTTAAATATCTTATCTAAACTTCTTAAAAAATTTGAATTTCTTTTTGTCTCAAAGATTACATACCTAACATTACTACTAAGTACTAAATGTGACTGTATAATTATAACAGACTTATTTCCACACAAGTTCAAGATTATTTTTTAATAGAACTATATTGTATGTATGTGTATACATTTAAGATATTAATAAATGATAATAAATATTGTTTTACAATCAATGCCACATTTAGTACATTAAAGAACATTTTGTTTATAAAACACATAGCTTATATTTGAAAAATAATACTTGTGTAACAATCTTAAAAATGCGACAAAAATTTTATCACTTATATATATGGAAATCTTACATAAATATATGTCTGACAATTCTTTAATTTGCATTTTCACAGGCATCAATCCAATCGTTATATACATCTAAAGGTTCCGATAATAAATTTATTGTCGTTTGAAAATCCTCCAAGCATACTCTGCAAGTTATCCTGGCAGTACTCTTCGACTTATCCCTGAAATCACAAAGAATATTTTGTTAATAAAAAAATATTAATTTAAGTTTATCAGTAAATTTATTATATTATTTTATCAAATTAATGAATCAAAGATTCATATAATTAAAGTGACAAAGTAAACCTGATTCTCTCTAGGAGCTAAATTGACTTTAATTATTTTATACGTTATAATTATCAAGGAAATATCAAGAAAACTTAATCGAATGTTATTAAAATCAACTATAAACTTAATCGAGTGTTATTAAAATGCAACATTTGTGCTGTAAATTCGACACATATACGCGAGTTATCCACATACATCTTAACGTCGCACGATTTCTCGTGATTGCAAAACGGGCAATTGAATTGTGTGTCCAACGGTTGAATAGCCTTCTTTTTGCTAGGTGGTTTTCGTTTACTCTTGCGTCGACCCATCTCGTCCCAATCGCTCGAAACTATACGTATTTCGATCGGACGAAACCGATAATCCGATAATCTCTCCGTCGTGTCTCACTAGGTTATGTTTAGGAAGCGAGCCGCGTTGTTAGGTTAGGTCGATCTTTTTCGCGTATCGGCGATATCATTAATCAAGCGCAAAGCTTATTATTGGATTATAGAATCCTATATGTCTTCCTTAACGTAAAACTATTTAATTTTTGCAACCACTGTTTTAATCCATTTTGTTTTTCTCTTCAAGATTTTAGCGCCTACATTTTCGTATATATACGCGTCAGTGATTTACCATCACTGCAACGCGCATGCGCAAAATCAATTTCGCTGCGGTCGGGAAGACACTCTGAAGCGTTTGATTGACCAATCAGGAGAAAAGGAGTAAAGATTTCTGTAACCTGATTGGTCAATCAAACGTTTCAAAGCATCCAGAGCGTATTTCCGATCATAATCTTAAAGGTACTTTTACATCGTGCGACGAATTTTTTTTTTTTGATTGGTTATCATATAAGGAATTCCTAGAAACTTTAGAAATATTCTTCTCTCGAGTCAAGTTACATTTTGACATATGAATGTCGTCCTCAAACACGTTTCTGTTCGATCTCCAGTTTTCCATTAATTCGTATATTTTGGGGGAATTTTTAATTGTTAAGCAATATTTAATATTTTGAAATCAAAATACAAAGAATAGTAAGATTTTTTCTATAATTTATGTCCTTGATTACATAAGTAAATTTTATTTTATATCTTATATTTAATTTTATAATACATAATGAAAAAAATATTTAATTAATACCAATCATTTAATCTAAATACTACATAATATTATAAATACTATATAGTAAATGATTATGAATTAATTTTCCTTGTTTCAGAAAAAGAATATGTTTTTATAACACATGCAGTTTAAATTTTTTTTTTTAATTTTTTATAATGGTGACAAAACATAGCTATTATAATTATGAAGCAATCTGGGAACGGCACCCTGAAATGATACTAGTATCAGAATCACCTGTTACTTGGCATGGTTTTTTAATTATCTCACGTTCATTATGCACATACAATTTCCAAAGTTCCAGAATAAGATTAAAATTAATCATGCCTGCTTATCCATTATTTGACGATGTACATGTGAAGTTTGGTAGACAAATTGCCTCTCTGCAAAATAAAGAATTCCACAAAAAGATGAATGGATTAATAAAAGCTGCATGCAAAACTGAACAAACAGTATCATCATTTTTAACACAATTACAATTGCTTATTGTAAGTATAAAATATAAATATAAAATATACTTTTCCTTTGATAATTCTATTATGATTATTATGTTTTATTTGCAAACAGGGAGAATATATGTGCAATACAGATACCAAAATTCTTGTACCTAATTTTGACACTATAAGATACTTTCTGCAAGAATTGGAAGAAGCTGTTCAACATTTACCTGTATGTAGATTTATGTAAAGTATATTCTTTTTTTTTGTAATAAATTCTCATCTAATTTTAAGTTCAAGATGAAATATTTGTGTTAAAGGAGGTGCTAGTATCATCTGATCAAAATTTAAATATCATTAAATTACACTACAGAGATGTATCTGTTACATTGCAAAGATGTAACAGTGCTGAATATCCTTGGAAAGTTATTGCTTCTGACTTGCCCAATATTCCAATATTTAAAGATTTTGAGAAGAATGTAACTAATTTAAGTGTTGCAAAGACTAAGTTTATATGGCAAATGGAAATATTGGAAAAAGCATGGAAACAATTAGAAGAAATTGATGAGTAAATAATTTATTTTTTATTCACACATTAAAAGAGAATATATTTGTTAATTTCCAGAATTTTTCTGTATGAAAATAATATTGTTTTTTTAATTATTCTATTGTTAAAATTATATCAAATCATTGTTAATTACACTAATGTTACAAGGAATTGCTGGGTAATTGATCCATTGAAACCAAATAAGAGCCACCTGTATAGACGTATCCACCTGTCTCAGTCTTTATCTGTGACAATTACAATAGATCCGTTGAATCCCATTGCTTTACCAGTAATTAAATTCTCAGGTTGTGACAGTGAAGTGAAACGGCAAACGGACGATGTTTCTAATAACATTCATGTATGTTTCATATATATGCATGATGTGTATAACTATCTTAATACTAATCTTATTAGCAATTTAATTTATGTTGATATGTTGATTTTACAGAAGTGGGATTATGATTGCAGTATTTTAGAAAATCTAAAAATGCTGTTAAATATGTATGAATTTCCCGAACAACAAGAAAGTATGGAAGAAAAAAAAGCCATTATCAATAACGAGTGTGGTATATGTTTCTCAGATGAATTGCCGGACAAGATATGCAATAATAAAAAATGCATGAGATACTTTCATTCAGTATGTTTATCAAAGGTATGTGTGATTGGAACATATTCACAATATATATTAATAACATAAATATTTTATTCATATTATATATATATATATATATATATATATATATATATATATACATCTTTATTAAATAATCTTTAATAATACTAACAAAAATATATTTTTTTTACAATAGTGGTTACAAACAGACATTGGAAATCAAGTTGTGTTTAATCATATTTATGGCCCTTGTCCATACTGCAAGGAAAAGATTTCTTGTTCCATTGAACATTGAAAAGGTAGATATTGTATTTTCTTAGAGCAGTATTTTATTCAAATATATATAAATATGAATAATTCATTTCCAGGAGCCATTCTTTCATGGATTGATTAAATTTTAAAGTTCCACATATCAAAATTAATGTTGTCTCTGTATCGTTACATTGGAGATAATCAGCAACAAGTGATTTGCTTAAACGTCCGGCTTTGATATTAAAACCATGAAGGTTGACTGTTTCATCTGAAATAAATTCCCCTCCCATTGTTGTATCTTATAAATGTTATATATGTTTCTATATGTTTCTATTTCAATTTATTTGCTTAAACAAATTATCAATTTTTATACTACTTGATATTAAATTATGAAAGAATTTATAATCAAAAATGTATAAATTATAGAATATTCTATGCATGCAATTTTATTATGAATTTGCTTGTTATAATGTGATTTAATAATATACCATTTAATTGAGACAGCTGTATTGTACATTTAAAATTCCAATAATCTGCTAAACTTCTTAATTCTTTTTTCAAAGGCACCTGTGCCACCGATTGAAATCCTGCGATAAGATGTATCCTCGTAAATTCTGTTTCATCGTCCACGATAGATCTTGTAATGGGATAAAGTGCTGCTATTCCCGACCCGATACTGAACATAACGATCTGTCGAAAACTATCATAACAATGTGTTCACTTGTGAGAAAAATAATTTTTGAATTATTTGCATGAATCTTCACCTGTTACTTTTATACTTGAAATCTCCGTATGGACCTCTAATATCGATTGCGCTACCAATTGATGCATTTTTTAGGCGCGAACTAAATTCACCCTGCTTGTATAATTTCACCAAAAAAACTAAACTATTGCATGTCCAAGAAATTGGTGTATATGGACGAGATTTACTCCAGGAATGTAAGATAACATGCTGTCCAGGCTCAATGTACAAATTAATATCATTTTTTGTTTCGCACTCTATATATAATAAGTAAAAATATTTTAATATACAAGATATATATTATACACACAACACAGATTTTTTTAAATTTTTAATAGTTTTTGCATGTAATTGAAAATTATTAATGACTTTATATATATTATAGATTTGCTATAGATTCAATAATGTAATTACTCATTCATTACTCATTCTTTTAAGTTATAATGTATTACATTTTTATTATTGATTTGATAACAGTAATACCTGAATATTTCAAGTAAACCAAAAAGTAATCCTCTGAAGTTTCAGATATATCAGTGATAATAAATACTTTATAAGATAGAGGAGATAATAAATTGTTACTTGTTTTCACTTTTACATTCTGTGTCTTCCTACTTTCCCATTCTTTCAATAATGTCTTATGAACATCAAAAATGCATGGTATGCATCCACTGCCGCAACAATCTTCATCCAATGGAGTTTTAGGTCTATCATCATCATTATTATCATTATAATTATTCAAACTCATTTTGTGTGCATTTTTTATTGAATTATTTAATGTATAACATCGATTCCGAAGAATTTTCACAAAATAAACCCAAATAAATTATTCAAATTGTATCATATGATAAAAAAAATAAATAAAAAAAACATATTTATTGCAAATACAATTTCGTTTAGACATCTTCATAAATAGTTCTTTATACAGAAAATATGTTAATTTTATCTATCTCTAAAATAAAAAATACAGTATATTATCTTTCATGCAGATACATTAGTAGCTTATCTATATATGTTAGGACACGTTCGAAAATCCTATCTGTGAAATAGAGCCCAATTGACCAATCGGGACAAAGGAATCTTTGTTCCTTTTTGGATGTTTTGATTGGTCAATTAAATGTTACTTTACGAATAGAAATTTTCAATGATGTATATAATATTACGTACGTTATTGGAAATTCCGAACGCACTCTTAGGGCGCATTCACCCCTTGGCAGAAAAGCAGAAGCCAATCAGAACTCACAAGAGAAGCGGAACGAATCATTGACGCGTACTGTACATACATAACACGATTTGAAAAGGCATCCTATTGCTCCAAGTATTTTTCAAGCAGGATAACGTGATATATCTGCATGCATACATTTTGCTGATAACCTGTCAACTGTGAACTTTGAACAATACACAATAAAATATACCACGTCATTATTTATACAGATGCATGATATTTTGAATGTAAGAATTTTGAAGAAACAGACGTAAGATTCGAGCAATGGCACCAGGAAGAACTAATTTTATCAATAGCAATCAGCTCAGAAACTCTTCCAGCTTTTCGTCCAAGTGAGATCTAATATAGATGTTTATTATATATTAATGCTTAACTAATTCTCGGATTTATATAGATTTATGGGGTCACATTAACTTTTTAAAGCATATTTTTTCGATTATCTTATAAATTTTGTATCGTGTAGATCTCAATATCAATAGTATTTTTAATAATATATTCAATGATTGTATTTAATTATATTTAATATTAAATATTCAATGATTGTATTTAATTATATTTAATATTAAAATAACATTTAAAAAAAAAATTTTTTTTACAAATAGAAGATTTAAAATATAAATAGTCTAGTAAACATTCCCAAAATTTCTAATTAATTTTAAAATGTCTATTTAAATTTCTTTTTTCTATTTTTACTCATGTGTTTGGAATATGTAATTTTCTTTACATTCTCTATCCAGATTAATATAAATATTGATCAGATAAATTTCTACCTTAATAATATTGAAATTGAAATGATATAAATTATGATATCAATTAATTAGAATATACCAAAATAAATAATATCAATAAAAATCTTCAGTATGCCAGGACCACACTCACCTTTTCAAACTATTGGGACAGCTATTCCACCTCCATTGCCACCTCGTCAACCTGTTCAAAACTACTTAGGATATAGTGATTACAGACCATATGGTTCAAGTTATTATGGAAATTATGGATATGGTAGTGGTTATAGAGGTTATAATGGATATAGCTCTTTTGGAAGTTATATTCCTTATTCTAGTAATAGTTATGGACAATTTGGAGGACCCAGTGGTGATGTGGAAAACAGGTACATTATAAAAAAAAGACTATAAATAATATTTAGCTTGTGATTTAACTATTAAGTATCTAATAAACAGAAACATAATAATAATACAAAACATTACATTAATAATTTTTTTAAAAAGACATGAAGGAATTATAATAATTATTTTATGATACATAATATTATTTTCCTATAATGGTGTAACATTTATCAATTGATTCTATTCAGATCCATATTAATAAAATAGAAAAAAAGTATAGATTGATTATGACTAAGATAAATATTTCTAATATAAGCTAGATTGTCAGTATATACTTCTTGAATATTACAAAGCTTTAAATTTTTACTTAGAAAAAAATATCCAAATTTGTCCAACATTTTTTAGCTGAGAGAGAATTATTTCATTTGCTATAGATTTCAACAGTACGCAGAAGAAAGTACGAGATCGACTTTCCGCGTAGTTGAAACAGTATTACATACATTTTCCTCTATCACAATGTTATTGGAATCGACATATTTTGCCTTGACAAATTCCTTCAGAGCGATTTTAAGCGTGGCAGATAATATTGGCAAACTACGTTCGACGCTTGGGCAGCTACTGAGCACATTTGCTTTAATCCGAGTCATGAAATGGGTTTATAGAAAAATTTTATTTATGCTTGGTAAGCTTATTATTGCAGCTGACACTCTCACTTTTATAATCATTACATTTTTCCACACATAACTTTCATAATTGATATTTTAATTATTTTTTATTCTTAGGTCTTCGAAATACGCAGAATGTTATAACTGAAGATTTGTGGCAACAATCAATATCACAAACAACAAACGGAGAACGTACAGTAACGGCGAATGGACATATTTCTTCATGGATAAATATTTTGTTTCTGGGTATATTTGTGGCTATTCCATATTTAATTCACAAAATATCAAATAGTATAAAGCAGACTGAAATAAAAGGTAATTATATTTTTTTATTGCATTTCCATATGAAATAAATGTATAATATAAACGCTCATAAATTTATTTTAAATGTGCTCAACAGAATATATATTTATTCAAATAATGATTTGTATCTAATCTCTTATCACTAACTTTTGTATTTAGAAAAAGCCTATTTTTATCAAAATATTTGTATTTTTTAGATAAAATATTTTTTAAAACATTCAAGTTTTTAAATTTGTTCTAACTTCTGATAGTTTTGAAATATGATTTAACATTTTAATATTCTTTATCTATAAATGTACAAATATTTATGTTCTATAAATATACAAATATTATATTGGTAAACTTGCAGTTAATGATCCAAAGGAATGGGTCAAGTGCGAGGATTCTGTATGCGTGGCGACTGCAATGTACGATTTCACGGCAATATCTAATGAAGAATTGAGTCTCAAAACCGGTCAAAAAATATGGTTGGCGCCACGGTCTCTACAATCAAAAAGTATGCCAGGTTGGTGGATAGCCACTGACAATAGAAATGTCGGTTTAGTGCCTGCCAACTATGTAACTATAGTAGGCCAATTGAAGAAAAAGTCAGAATTAGAAAGTAATGGAAATACTACCACGTCTGCGCTAACTCCAACTTCCGTACAAAATGTAACAGCTTCTAATGAACAGGCAGAAACGACACGTGTAAATATGCTGGAACCTAACACCAGTCAACAAAGTACTGATTTTTCTGAGACTAATATTAAAAATGACTTGATTTAGTTCGCACATATTTGGGAGATTTATTTTAATTTAAATCTATCAATTTTCATAGTCAGAGTTTGTTACACGATCTTAAATATATATGTGGCCTATATCTTCATAAAAAGAACATGACTGATATTCTTAAAAATATAATATATATGTGTGTGTATCAAACATCTCATATATTGATTGGGTATATAAGGTGAGCTGTATTTCAATGAAAGGAAAGAAGAATCTTGTAGAAGTCCATTTATTGAGACTTGTAATAAGAATGTTTTTATTGAAGATTTTATTGTGTGTAAAATAAGAATATCAGAGGCTTCACTATTTTTTAATTTATGATAATATTATATTTAACACTAAGTTACAGTAGAAAAAAGTTTTGTAATATGTATGGGTTTATTTAAAGACATTAAAATTCGTTCAATATTTAATTAAAGAAAAAAAAACAAGGAACAAATAGGATTTATATTATAAATATAAACATAAACGACTTAATATTTGTAGCCAATTTTGAGAATGCAACATATTTAAATACTAAATTATATTTAATGATAACAATAATATTTGATAAATGTGTGAACATTATCAAAACTATTTTTTTTTTATATTTTTGTAATATTTTTATAAAGTGTGTACTTTTTTTCCATCAATTATTATTAATTGCATTTGATTGCTCTTCATTAGTAAAAAACGAATAAATGAATAAATTGTTAAATTATCCTGAATTCTCTTTATAAATAAGTGAATATTTATAGTAATATAAAATCACATTTTTATATTATTCAATAAAATCTTCAATCATAAAATATTCAAACACAGATCGTATTTTATACATGAAAATCAACCAAATGGTATAAAGTTAATTCTAATATTACACCAAAAAAGTTTCAAAGTCAAGATAAAATATATATAGAATCTCTCTAGAATAAAAATATTTGATATAAAAAAAGACATTATTAATTAGGTTTTAGTAAATTTATAATAAACTCTAATATAGAATCTTACATAAAAATTCTAGTTTGAATTATCTATTTAAAATTGTATCTAAATTTATATATCTAAAAATTGTATATCTAAATGTGTATGTAATTATTATTTAACATTGATTTCAATGTAATAAGAGAAAAGTTCACTAAATTATTGTTTTAATCATTGTTTAATCATTGTTTTAATTAATAAATTAAAACATTTAAATGCATTTTCTAAGCTATTAAATTTTAAAAAAAACTGCTCAAAACACATCCTAAAAACACATATTTAAGATTTGATATTATTTGTAATATTTTAATTTTGATATTATTTGTAATATTTTAATTTTCCTACTAGCTTTGTTTAGTTGTACGTATATTTTATAATTAGAATAAAAGAGAAACATTGTACATATATACAATTTATAAACATTCTTACAAACATGTAATGTTGGAAAATATTGAATTCGCGAGATATGATAGTTAATTTGATCTTTCAATATTTCATTAAGGATATTTCTTTTGCTTTAGATAAAAAATTATATTATTTGTTAAAAAATTAATATATTTTATGCAAAATTGATATTTTAAATTCAAAAAGTTTATTATGTGAGTTGATATTATATACTTACATTTATGATTTATTTAGAGAGCACTGCATTAATCTGTAAAGGAATGTAGTTAAATATAAAACATATTTTACAATTATACTGCTAATGTATTTTGGAAAAAGAGAAAGAAATTGTCTATGAAATAAAATAAATCTCATTCAATTAAAAAGAATCACACAAACAGATATGTGTATGTATCAAGATTTAGACACATTCAAATTACATTTAATGCAAAATGCAGAACAAAATGAAGGATATGAATACAAGCTAAGAATACTCATCGTTTAGAAGATTACAATTGTCGAAAAATGTTTAAGCTAAAATGCAGTTAATTATGTATGTACATATTACATGTCACATACACATACACTTATCCATCAAGAGAATAGTTTTCTTGTTAAATATTTATTCTACAAATTCCAAAAAATTTTATTTATAAGTTAAACTCGAAATATATAAGGCATATGAACAATGTAATATAGATACCGTATATTATGCAGACAGCACCTGTAATTATATTTTATAAGATTCTACGATATTAACCAAAATCTTCATAAAATACATATTATTTTTTGGTAACATTAAAAATTTGGCCAATGCTTTAAAATATACTATCCAAGTTTTAAAATATGCCAAATATTTGTAACACTCTTAGCAAAATGATACAATACAATCTAAAAATTGCACATTGTTTTGGCATATTTATAATCACATTGTAAGTTTATATCATAGAAAAATTTTTTTATATACCATCATCCTTCTTATTATTGAAAACTAATTAAACATTAATTGTAACACAAAAAAAGAAAAAAAAGATGTCTTAAATTGCATTTCTATAAATGCAATTGCATAAATTATATTGATATGTTTATCTAAAATATAATTTAAAAATAATTAAATTATAATTTAAAAATAATCTTTGTGATAAACATTCGCGAGAAACATTTACGAGTCTTATAATGTCTTTGATTGAGAAAAGTTTGAATTATCCTGGAAGCTGTTAAACATATAATTTTTACAAATATAATTAATGTTAAAGTACATGTCAAAGTATATTAATAATTGCAGGTACTTTATTATTATTATATTTAGTATTTATACTTTACTATTATTATATTTAGTATTTGATCATTCAGTATATTTGATTTAAAATTTAAAAATGAATTGCTAGATAAATATTAAGCAATTATTTTTTTAATATCAAATCAAATAGAAAAACTGATAAAAATCCTGTGGTTTCCAGAACAATTTAAACTTTTCAAGTGATATGCCCAATTTTAATTGTCTAAATGCTAAACTATCCTTCATTTCTTCATTAATAATTCGATAAATGATCTTGTGAATATGTTCAACAAGATATTTTATATATGTAAAAGACGTATATATATATATGTTTATTATTTCAAAGCATCACATATGAGCCATAGTTTTGCAATCTTTTTAAGGCTTTTGAACTCAAACATATATAGTATATCATTTTGTTTTCAGCTTTCAAGGAAAGAGATGAATGTAAATTTTACTTCAACTTTACATTTGATTTCATATGAAAAAACTTATAATCAAAGACTTCAAGAAACAGATCACACACAAACACACACATTCTTGGTATAAATTCACAATCATTGTTTGTGATGTAATTTCAAAACTATTAATCGATATGGTATTTTATAACGTATTATTTTTCCACTTCAAATAAAATTTACTTATTTACTAAGAAAAACTAACTAATCAATAACGGTTCTCTTTTTTCGGAAGGATGCTTGATGCAAAAGTAACATATGAGTAACAATAGAAATCTTTTATGTAAATTTTTATACTGTATATTCATAATATACATTACATAAAAGAATGTGTTAAATTTTTATGACTCACTTAACATTCGATCTTGAATTTTCTTTAATAAAAAATTGAAATAAAACAAAAATATTTATTTAAAAATACTCAAAACTGATAATGTGCTATATATATTTAGAACATAGGGAAGAGAAACTGATAAAGAATAAAGCAAAATATTTTCTGTGATAAATTTAGTTTAAGTCAATGTGTGAAATTAGAGTAGCAATATTGAAGCTATTAAATAATGTCATATTTTTGATAATGTAATAATTTTTGCCATTGTTCCCCTGTATTGCCATTCCAGTTGCAGCAGCTTTGCACAATCCATACAAGAATCATCTTTTATTAAGATGAAACACTTCACGTGAACACATCAAGTTGCCTTTACATCCCTGAGCTTCCTGTAGGCAACACAATATTCACATCACACTTAGAATTACCATTCAGCATCCCCATTTGCCTTTTGAAATACATAGTCTTTCCCACTTAAATTCATTATGCCATCCTTGAGATAAAACTTCCATTTATTTCGACTCCTTGTAATCTGGAAACAAAAACGATATATAAGTTAAAATGTAAGTAAAATTATAATTTATAAGTTTTAAATTTATATGATAAAATCTTACACAAATTTATATATTTAAAATAATATTTATTCATATATATATATATATATATATGAATGTGTGTATGTATGTGTGTGTGTGTGTATATATATGCATATATATACTTACATACATACACACATTAAAGATGAACATATCACTTTCATACCTTATCATACTGACAGACTACTACATTGTCTGTATCAAAGAGATCAGCAGGATCATCATCTGTAACGTCATCTTCGGAATTTAAGGGTTCCTAGAACAAATAATTTCTTTGCTAGACAACAATTCGCAATTAAAATTTATCTATAAACATTAATTTCCTTACACATATATACACAATATACAAATATGTGAGTGATAAATGTGCATACATGTATACACAAGCAAGTGAATAAACACACACACATATTAATTGTTAATTAATAATTAAGAAAGGATAAATTTAATAACGCAAGAAAATGTGAAAAATCAGGAAATTATTTGTAATTTGAGAGCAAAATAAAATATATGTACTACTATTACTATATGTATTACTATTAACCTCTTCACGAGCTGCTGCTTCATCATTTTCTTCCTCCTCTTTTTCATCAAGATCTTCATCATCATCATCGTTATCATCTTCTTCCTCTTCATCATCGTCGTCAGTAGAATCGCCCACTCCTCCATCTAACTGATTTATATTATTTTGTTGCTAGAAAAGTAAAAGAGACATTATATTTCTTTATAAGATATACACATATAAGTATATATTTATCTATTATATTTTATTCGTTACAAAATCACAGTGTCTACAATTGCATTATCTTACTTGATTTTGAGGTGGCCTCTGTGTTACGACACTATTTGTACTTTGGGTGACCACTTGAAGTGGCTGATTTACTTGCAAAGGAGCTAATGTTGCTTGCCCTTGCAGCGTAGAGTTCACATGTTGTTGCAACAAAGTCGAAGCTAAATTTGCTGGAAGACCCATAGCCGCGGAAATTACAGGACCTGTTAAAATCGTATGTAACTGGTTTCCTGAAAACAAAAATATACAATCTTTTTTATTTATAATTTTTATTTATAATTAATATACATTAATATAGTTCAATAATAAAAGATTTATTCACATAGAAAAATTATATATAATAAAATAATTATATAATAATTATTAAAATTTCATTCTTACTTACATAAATTATTGATGAACTTTCTACTAAAATATAAATGTAAGATTTTCACCTTGAAGAGCAGATGCAGGAACTTGTATGCTTAAAATCCGTTGTGGTCCATCTGGAATGCCAGCTTGTGGAGGTAGGGTGATCTGTATGGGCACTTGTCGGTCAAGTACAGCAGCAGGTGCAGTTACCACTTGTTGCACTGGCGTTGTCGAATGCTGTTGGGGTTGTTGCTGTTGTAACGATGTTCCAGTAGGATGCGTGTGTTGCTGCGATTGTGCCGGTTGTTGCTGCTGCGATTGCGCTTGCTGCGTCTGTTGTTGCGATTGTTGAGGTTGTGTTTGCGGCACTGTATTTCCAGCAGATGGTTGTACAAAATGATTTCCTACATTAGCTGTTACAACATCAAATTTACATATAACAATCTACAGGATACACTGATCCAATAGGGGTGGGGCATCTTATATAACTTAAGTTGTACTTCAATAAAAATTCTTTGCTAATATTTGCTATATTGATTTCTAGTAAATATAATGTACCTTTATTGACAGACACAGCTTTGTGCGTGTTGATTTGAGGAACTTGTGGTTCTGGTGGATCTGGATTTAATTCTACAGCCTTGCTGGCCATCAGTTTTGTTTCCCATATTTGTTTAAGTTCTTGGAGAACCTGTTCATCCACCCCTTCATCTATAAACGATTCCCGTACTCCTGCTATTACATCCTCTATCACAGTATTGTATAATTTCAGCTGTAAAAAAAATATATTCTTTTAGTATCGTAAATATATTAAAGATACAAGTAAAAAAAGGTTGACAGATGTCCATACTAACTCAATCAGTCTGTTTTAGTTATTAAATTTACAGGAATATGTTATATAAGCATGAGTTTGCAATATATATTCTTTCCAAGGACATCGAAAAAATTATACATTAGTAGAAAGATTTCAATATTCGAATAAATCAACGAGCGCGCGCGCGCGTATAAGGATTAATATCCTTCGGATCTCATAGGAAACAATATGAATTAAATATTTAAATCCCAAATAGAGATCAAAATGATGACCCATCCCTCGAAACAACTTCAAACTTATATTTGCATGTTTGGCAGTCTATATCCTATTGTTATCTTTCCGCTAATGCACAACCTTCGATGTCCATGTAGGTTAGAAAGTCCATTTGTCTATCTACGTCGAGACGAGTTTTCGACAGCGGGGAATCAATAGGAAGACATCGAACGGACGCGAAATATCACGCGATGTTCGAACGTCGAGGAAAAGCGGAAACTGCGCTTGCATTCGAGGAAAGCTAGAACCACGTACATACATACAGGTTTTTTCATCTGTCCACATACATTTATGTTCGTTCGTTCATCTACTCACTACGCTTGTCTGGCTGAGAGCCATCGTGGAGCTGACGATCAGAGACACGATCGCTCAACCGGGGAAGCAACGACAACGACGATAATCTAAATGACAATCCCCCCTGTTTCTTAGAAGCCACACCGATGCATCGTCGCTCGCTGATCGCTCATACCCGTTCGCATTCACAAAACGCACAACAGCTCCACTTCGCCATCACTCGCCACGAACAGCTGCTACTGGTCTGTTCAGTCAGTCTGTTAGGCTAGATTAATTTTTGCACGCATGCGCGAAATTGCAGTATCGGGAAGGATGCGTTCGAAAATCCTATTAGTGGGCTGAAGTGACATCCAATTGACCAATCAGGAGAAAGGGAGCAAAGGATTTCTTTATCCCCATTGGCCAATTTAATGTCAATTCTACTCTACGATTAGAATTTTCGAATGCATCTAGATTGAATGTAAAAAGCGCGAGTGAAACGAACAGACCCATTCTGTACTTTGGTTCTGTCAAAATTTACCAAAGCATGCGTCAGTATTAAAGAAAAGAGATTATCTGCGGGAGAGGACAGCTGATATAGATACATCTGTCACCAAAGTAATTATATCTTATTTAGTAAATATATGGATTTAGTGTAAAAAAATAAATATATGTTCATATATACACACGATAAAAATATATTGACACTATCTGGCATCAAAATGAATGTTGTTACCGCTTTGAAGTTTTATATAACGAAAATGACAGAAGACAGTGGTCCTGGTATGAAAATTTTGCTAATGGATAAACAAACGGTAGGAATAAAAAAAATATATCATGAATCGTTATCTATTGTATAAGTTTGAAAAATTTCACCTTTTTTACTTCTAGACAAGTATAGTCAGCTTACTTTATAGTCAATCTGAGATATTGATGAAAGAAGTATATTTATTCGAGCGAATAGATACTGCTGTACATAACGATACTTTAAAACACTTAACATGTATAGTATTCGTAAGACCAACCAAGGAAAATATTGATTTGCTTTGTAAAGAGCTTAAATATCCTAAATATGGAGTATATTATATTTGTAAGTAATACGGATACAAGTGGAGCATATGTAGAGTTATATCTCTAATTATAGAAAATATCTTAGAAAATAATGTAGTGTAAGATAAGAAAACAATAATTATTAATATCACTTATTTGTATAATAAATGTACTTATTTGTTAGATTTTAGTAATATTATTGCAAAAGCAGATATAAAGCTTTTGGCAGAAAGTGATGAACGAGAGGTAGTTAGAGAAGTACACGAATACTATGCAGATTATCTAGCGATTAATCCACATTTATTTTCACTTGGAATAAATGCTTGTTCTGAAGGTAATTCAATTTTACTCATGCAATAGACTAATAAATTATTGAATGAAAATAATTTTTTATAATTATGACTTTCAAGGGCTTACATGGGATCCAGTGCATTTACATAGAACTGTCCAAGGAATAACTTCAGTTTTATTATCATTAAAGAAATGTCCATACATTAGATACCAAAATAGTTCCAATATGGCAAAGAGATTAGCGGAAAAAATAAGGGAAGTGCTCAGTAAAGAATCTAGCTCTTTTGAATTCAGACAGGAATCTAATCCTATCCTTCTAATAGTCGATAGAAGAGATGATCCTGTTACACCTTTGTTAAACCAATGGACATATCAAGCAATGGTACATGAACTGCTGACAATCAACAACAATCGCGTTAATTTATCTCATGTGAAAGGTATTTCAAAAGAACTGAAAGAAGTTGTTCTCAGTGCAGAACATGATGATTTTTATGCAAATGTAAGAAAGTTCTTCAATATTTTATGTATTTATATATATCTGAATCAGAAATGTAATGAATTGATAAAAATATTTTTGTATGCATTTATATACTTTGCATAATGATATATATATTATATATATATTATTATTCTTTATGGGAAACTATGTTAAAAGAATATATTCTTAAACAGAATTTGTATCTAAACTTTGGTGAAATTGGACAAACGATAAAAGAATTAATGGAGGAGTTTCAAAAGAAAGCAAAAAAACATCAGAAAGTTGAAAGTATTGCCGACATGAAACATTTTGTAGAAACATATCCGCTTTTCAAAAAACTTTCGGGCACTGTATCAAAACATGTTACGGTAGTCGGAGAACTTTCGTCTCTTGTCGAAAAGCATAATTTATTAGAAGTATCAGAACTGGAACAGGAATTGAGTTGTCAAACTGATCATTCTTCACAGGTAATTTATTGATACTTATAACATTGTTTTTACATTTATTAATTGTTCTATTTATAGCTGCAAAAGATAAAAGCGCTTATCAATAATCAAAAAGTACGAGATATCGATACCGTCCGGCTTGTTATGCTTTATGCGCTTCATTATGAAAAATATGCGAATAATGACATAAATGGTTTAGTAGAATTGCTTAAAAAAAGGAATGTTTCAGATAAATATATCAAGGTATTTTTCCTATTATATAAAATTGAAATTCTCAAGGTATTTTTCCTATTATCAAGGTATTTTTCCTATTATCAAAGTATTTTTCCTATTATCAAAGTATTTCCTATTATATAAAATTAAAATTCTCACAAAATATATGTATGTAATATTCAAATTTCACACATTTCCAGCTTGTATATAATATATTAGAGTATAGCGGCGTTAATGCAAGACAGAGTAATTTATTTGATCGAGAAGCAGTTGCCAAAATAACTAAAAAACTATTCAAAGGATTAAGCGGAGTAGATAATATATACACGCAGCATTGTCCTTTGATAAGTGAAACATTAGAAGACTTAATAAAAGGAAAGTTAAACACTCAAATATTTCCATATCTTGGTAATATGATAATGTCGAAAAGGTAAACTATTTGTATATTAAATAGAAATGTATGTGCCGTATATTAAATATTAATGAATTATTCCATTCTTAGACCTCAAGATGTAATAGTATTCATGATTGGAGGTGCTACTTATGAAGAAAGTTTGGCTGTTTATAATTTAAACAAACAAAATCCGGGAATAAAAATTGTTCTAGGTGGTACTACCATTCACAATTTTAAAAGTTTTGCGGAAGAGGTACACCATGCTACTAGCGGTATATTAATGCGATATAAAATCGGAAAAAATTAACAATATTGAAAAATATCATCACATATTCCAAAATATTTATTTGTTATATATTTTGGTATCTATACATCATATAATATCTTTTTCTCTCTTTATCACGAATATAGTAATCCAAAATTTCCAACATAAATCACTGCAACACGACAAAATAAGATATTCTTTATTTTGCAGTTACATATACTTCCTATTTTTATCATGAAAACATAATTTCCTTTTTATTCCCCTTATTCAGCATCCTCATCATCCAATATGTATTCCGTTGACATATCTGAAGTTTCATCATCTTTTGCTGATACCTTTAACAAACATTATTAACAATCATTATTTTAATTAACATGGCAATATGAAAAGTACATGATGTATTATTTGTTAAACTTGTCTTTTCATCTATATATATATTTTTACATAATTTAAAAAAAATGTAATTTTTATAGTAATTTCTTAATTATCCTGATAATATAATAATTAAATTTCAAATGAAAATTCTGTTAAAATAAACTTCATTTAAAACTAAATAGAAAATAAGATTTTTTTCATCTCTGAAATTCAATATATTCTTAATTGTTTATTACTTATAACGAATTCAGTCACTCACACTACACTACAGTAGTGCATATTAAAGAATGCAATATATCTAAATGCAGTGATACACTGAATATGTAAACATTTTGATAATGAAATAATATATGTTCTAAAGAAATGACAATATATAATAATAAAAAGTAACATTATATAATCATGATTGTGAGTTTTAATTACTTAAAATGTTCATATTATTCCTTTTTATTTAAGTAACTTCATATATAACAATTTTTGCCTTAGTGCAATATAGTGCGGGTGACCGAATTTAAATATTTATTTCGCAACATTTTATTAAGGAATAATGTTATTCTAAATTATTTGTATTATGTTATGCTTAATATTGATACACATAATATAAAAGAGTTAATATGCATTATATGTTCGAATGTTCGAATCGAATGTTTTTATTAAATGTATTAATATTTTATATCTTCTTTTGAAATACTTTACAAATATGATTCCATGTGTATGGCTATATTGTTATATATAATTACATAAAGATATAATCTATTCAATGTCAAAAAACATATAAGCTATATAAAAATAAGTTATTTATAAATAACTGATTGTATATATATATATGTGTTTGTAAGTAAACTTATTATAATGTAATGAAAAACAAAAATAATGTATAAAATGTATTATGTGTATAAAAGTTGATATTAATTGGTTAATTTCCATGTATGAAAATATATTATCAACGTGCAGCTAATACTCACGTCTTTTTTTCTTCTTAATAAATTTTCTGCTTCTTAATAAATATATTAGCACCTACAAATAAAGCTACTTGTAGCTTCAATGTCAATATTTGCAATTTTTATTTTATCTTTAAAATGATCTATGTAAATGTAATTTCTTCTAATATAAAGCAGCTTTTCATTTCTTATATCAAATATACGTTTCACTAAATATTATTGCATTTTGCTATGTGTAAAACATTAATGCAACCCAACGCTAAAATAAATGCACAGAAAAATTATCATATAGCTATATTTATTTTTTGCAATATTTACTAAATATATTTTTTCAAACACAAATTAAATTTGTATCAATGCAAATATTTCAATTGTTATACAGATATTTCATATATAATAAAAGAATGTTTCAATAAAAAAATAGAAAAACCAATTAATATCTAACAAAACTTTATACTTGTAAGAAATAATTCTTTGTTCCTATTCTTGTCTGTGTCTTTGTCTATTACTCTCTATGTCTTAATCTTAAACAAACACACAAAAACAGAAAGATTTTAAAATTATAAATCTATATAGACATTATATGTGCTATAATATACATATATACAAAATATTATCAAATTTCCTTTTTCTATATATAAAAAAAAGGATCTTACCTCTACAATACCAGTAGATAATGCATATCCTGCCATTGCCATTGCAGCAACAAATGCAGCAAAAATTTGATTCCTTCTCTTATTTGGAAATTCACACTCGTCTTCCCCTAATTTTTCAGCGTTTTTTTCAGCTTTATCCTTTTCATAAGTCTGATATTCATATTCAAAGTATCTTTGTGATATACGCGATACATACTTCACTAGATTTGTGCAATTTCTCAGATGATTTTGTAAAACTGGATTTGGTAATGGTGCCTTGAGTAACAATGCTAAATACGAATACACAATGGCATCTATTGTACTAGGTTGTTGTCCAAAAAAAAAATCTCCATCTCCAAGTCTCATAGATAATAATGTCAAACATTTTTGTGCCTCCGAGTATACCTATTGTTACATAAATTGTTAAAATTAATATAAATAAAATTGTTAAAATTTTTTGTACCTAAATTATATCTTGTCTATTTATAGAAACATTTAAAAGTACATTTTAAAAAGTTTTAAGTTATTTCATATGTTATACCTCATTTTCAATAACATCAATGTTATCTTCCATGGAATATAAACTTTGCATCAACGCCTGTGCTTGCCGCTCGAATTTTCCTGGATAATAGAATTTAAATGGAAAGGGCAGTGCTTTGCAATACCATGGTCTAATTAATTCATCTAGATTCTTTTTGTCTATCCACCTAGAAATAATTGTAATAATGGTACATTCTGTGTTTTAATATGTTTGTTGTAAAAAAAATTATAATGAGATGTTTATAAAAACGATAATTACAATCAAATATATTTATTAATTTTGTATCTATTTAGCTACTAATATTATATTTACAAAATTACAGAACTGAATAAACATGTATATATTGACCAGAATAATGCACAATTTATATTTGAATGAACATTTTTTAATATTATTTTTTTAAGCTGAGCTATTTAGTGAAATCTATTTATTTAAATAATAATGATATATAAATCAAAAATATAATTCTAAAAAATAATCAGTCATTTTATGTTTTATTTTGCATGTTATTCAGAAAATTAATTTTTCTACACAAGTTCTGAAGTTATAAACAGTTTTTGTTGACAATATTTGCAGAAAGATATCTTGCTAACACTTTAAAAGCAAAAGGCAGAAAAATTATCAATTATTGACATAATAATTAATTCTTCAATCAATTTAATTGACAGATAAAATTTTCAAATATCTTTCATTACAAATGAAAATGTTTACTGTCTCACAGTATACATTCTTTCATCATTTTAATCTCATGAGAATCTGGGAAATTGCATATTATTCTATAGGTATGTACATTTATATATATATGTTTGTATATCTCATACCATATAAATTGCAAAGCTGGATATAATTTTTCTTTAAGTAGAGCATCATACGCTAAGACATCTGCACATTGCTTATCAGTTAACGTATAGTCAGAATTATAATGTTTTGCTCTAAAAAATGGCAATATATCTTTAACCGTATCCAAAGTATTTAGACCAGCTCTAAGCAATGGTAATCGACCATTTGGGGTTTTAAATGGATTGCTTGTTAAATTTACTTTTAAAGGTATTCCACTGAATTTAGCATATGCCTATAAATAACATATCATATTAGGAAACAAATGCTGTTATTAATTAATTAATAAGACATGCAATATAAGTTTCTAATAGCAAAACACAAGTAATATTTGATAGTAAATATATATTATAGCTAAAACTGACAAGATGACTGATAACATCTAGTATTTAATAAATAGACTTAGACATTAATATACAGTGAGACAGACAAAAGTTTGTGACTTTTTTTATTTCATTGATATATCAGCCAGTCGATAATTTAAGCATCTCAACACCTGTGTATATTTCTATATTACATTATTATTTAATATATCTCCCAAAATTAATAGATATCTTCTTAACATCTTCAGTCAATTTCAAGATAATTTTTCCTCGATAAAAATATCGAGTGAGATCATTTATTGCACTTTTTATTATTTCATATCTTTGTGTATATATAATTGAGTTTCAAATTAAAATTTGTAATAAAATTGAAATTATTCGAAAGAATTATCAATGATTGAAATTGTATAAATTGAAATCATTCTATTAATCAATTTCTCTCTCGCCATTTAATAAAAATTCGTCATTTCTGTCAGTTAATCCCTGGAAAGCTATACATGTCTCGATATTTTCATCGAGAAAAAAAATCAATTCTTAATTGACCAAAGAATTTGCAGTGACATTTGATAAACGCGAGACATTCTAGATATTCGTATCGCTTGTAGAATTCAGCGAATTTTTTATATCGTGTAAAAATAATAGTTGTCATATAAAAATTGATCGTTAATCGGCTAATACATGTGCGTATCATAACCTTTACATACCAGAACTTGCAAACAATCTATATCAACTGACGGGAGACCCCAGTCACCTTTCCATATATCCAATTGTAATATCTCGGCATTATCCATTTCTGAAAATTCGCATCGCCAGCAAAATATCACTCACGTCCACTCAATTAAATTCTTAACACATAACTGTATAATCCTTTGGTAAACAATGTAACATGCTGCACATTGAATGTATATACAAGGTTAGAAGTTTTATAAAGACCTATTCACATGAATTGTGATAATAAAGCAAATGCGCACAGGGACCAAAGGGAATAAATGTACTTCATCCTAATTGGTTAATTAAACGCTACTTTTTCTCGACAACACATTTTCGAATCTATGAGGATAGGTCTTTAATCATGACTTATATTATCTATAATGTAATGATTATTTTGTGTGCACATATACAGTATGCAATCGTGCATAATTACTATTGACAGTAATTGTATTACATACTACGCGCCTGCGTAAACAACTTTTGGAATTATCATAAAATATTACGCATGCGTAAACGATAAAAGATTACCGTATGTATATTAATCACTGCATAAATGCATAGCCCCGCGGCGTAAACATAGTAATGAAAAGGAGTAATGTACATTTATATTTTTTTAGTTAATCATAAATTAAAGAGAATGACTTGTGGAAAATGTTACGCGTACATTATCGCGAATAACGTAAATGTTTAGAATTTGTAAAAAAAGAAAGAGTAATAAATTGATAGTAACACTTGTCTCGATCAAATTGCTTTGATAAAATGTCTAACACACTCACACCGTTTGTATACTGGGCTCAAACAGAGAATCAAATCACATTAAAAGTAGACTTAACTGATGTAAAGGTACGATATATGATGTATGTTGAATATACCTGAGAGCAAGAGAGAAATCGTGTGTTTTTTTATAAATAATATTTCTGTCTCTCCTAGAAAAAAATTTGTAAAAGGAATCTATTTATGCTTTGTTACAGGATTTTAATGTTGATCTAAAGGAAACTACATTGCAAGTTACAGCTTATGGCCAGGGAGCTAGAGGTTTAAATAATTACAGTTTTAACTTGAATCTTCATTCACCTATTGATCCAAATGTAATAACAAGTTTATAAATTAATTTTTGAATACATCTATATAATACAATTGTTAAATTAAAAATATGTTTTATATGTAATATTATAGGAAAGTAGTTACAAAGTAATTGATCGTCAAGTAGACTTTATCTTGAAAAAGAAATCTAGTAGTTGGTGGCCAAGATTAACAAGTCAACCGCAAAAGCCTTCATGGCTTAAGATTGATTTTGATAAATGGAAAAGCGAGGATATGGATGACAATGATGATGAAAAGCGTGATATTTGTAATGATTATCCTGACATGTATGATAAATTGCACAAAGAAGAATTTGGCTATAGAAAAGGTATAGTGAATTAATATGAATAAAAATTATATATCGTATAATGATATTACAATATTGATGTTTTGCATTATTTTTTCAGAGGATCTTACTAAGGTGTATCTAGTGATATATAATCTCTGTCAATTTGTTGGCTTTATTTATATATTTGCTATAATGTGTATAAGATACTCACGAGATGGGCCAGGTACATTCATACACATGTTCATTTCTAAATTATTTTCAATCTTTTGGTACAAGAGAAACAAACTCTCGAGACTTTATTGAAGCTCTTTTAGCAAGAACTCTTTGTGTGCATGGAAATTTATAATAGTATAAGAAATTTTTTAGAAATAGATTTATCTTAAACACAAAATATATTTTTTAGATTTCATGAAAGAAACATTTGCAGCTGTTGGCAATCCACTCAAGTTTATACAACTTTTACAATTTTTGGAGGTAATGCATCCTCTATTTGGATATACAAAAAGTAGCGTACTTGTGTCTTTCTTACAAGTTGGAGGTAGGGGATTTGTATTGTTTCTCATGATTGATGCCGAACCTCGAATGCAAGTTAAGCCAGTCGTTTTCTATCTATTCCTAATATGGAGTACAATAGAGATAGTTAGATATCCATACTACATTACACAGTTATTGAATATTGAGATATCCTTTTTAACATGGTTAAGATATACTATATGGATACCATTATATCCATTAGGTTTTGTATGCGAGGGTATCGTAATATTACGAAATATTCCATATTTTGAGGAAACTCAGAAATTCACAGTTTCCTTACCAAATACTTATAATTTTGCTCTTCACTTCCCGTCTGTCATGAGACTTTATTTACTTCTATTGCTCTTGCCTGGAATATATACATTAATGTCTCGTATGAGTCAATTACGCTCTAGAAAACTTGGAAAATCTACTATTAAAAGAAAATATAAATGATTTGTGTAAATAACTTTAAGCTCATTTATCATATTCTTTATTTTATCTTTTATAATTTATTATTATGAAAAGGTAAATAAAAAAAGAGCATAATATAATGGTATAATGGTTACTGTGTTTTAACAGAGTAAAGAAAAGCTTTTTCAATAATGCTGTAATTTTGTATAGAGGTGTTTTATATTGTTTTAGGTCATAATTTTTTTTTAAACAAAATTACATTAAATCTTGTGCATTCAAGATTAGTTGCCCAAGCTGATTTTATTTTATAAATATGCATTTATTACTAATGTATATGCATTTATTACTAATGTATTTCAAACAAAAAGAGCAATATTAAAGTTAATATTAAGGCATTAATTTTGCACATGCCTTGAGCAAATTCTGTATATGGACAAAATAGAACAATAGAATAAATGATGTAAATAAAAAAATATATTGTAAGATTCGAATCTACAATATCTAATATATCATTGATATAGAATATAGATTTATAAAAAAACATTGTCGTTTGTGAAAAGATGATGTAATTTGTTGGATGTTAACAGCAAGATATAAAATTTATATTCATTATTTGAAAGAACAGATAATTGAAGATATACTTAATATTAGAGACTTGAGAGTTTGAGAGCGGCCATCAGCCGCAACGGACACATTTTGCGTAGAGGGGGAAATATATATATATATTCTAAAGCTTCTAGTTAAAGCGTGGTTTTTCTCTGATCTTATGCAATGTATACGATTTATTTGAGAAATATATTTGAGATATATATGAAATAAATAATATTTAATATCTAGCTTTCAGAAAATTCTTTCAATTTTATTCATTTAGTGTGCGTGTGTATGCAATAAATTTTCTAACCTTATTAAATATACGAAACTCATTAATGTGAAGTGAAATATACACAAGTGAGAATATATATTTTTATTTAAATTATCTAAATTATATATTAAAAATGTATCCTATGGATTTGACAAGAACAGTTCCATCAGAGAATGAAAACAAAAATGTGTTTCTGAATGACGGCGAATTAGACAAAATTGCTCTATTTCTTGTTGGAAGTCAACAACGTTTTAGAGAAAATATCATAATTCCCAGAATATTGGGACCTGTGCAAATAAAAACTATTGAAGAAAAAAGAATAGAAAGTGTAATGGAAAGTTGTGCATTTAAAAGCATCATGAGTTGTGTTATTGGTATATATTCTATTACCTATTATATTATTATATTATATGTATATATAAATATATTGAATACAAAAAATTACAAATACCAAAAAGTAAAATATCAAAACTATATAACGCACTAATTGAAGCATCCATTTTTTCAGGCTACGGTTTAGGAGCAGCTATTGGACTATTCTCGTCTAGTGTAAATCCTAATATAGCAAGTATTGAAAAGCAACAAAGCGCACGAGAAATATTAAGAGAAATGAAAGGCACAACGCTTGGTTATGCGAAAAACTTTGCAGTTGTTGGATGTATATTTTCTGCCATTGAATGCAGGATAGAATCGGTAATATTCAATTAGCTAAACAAGTTGAAAAATTTTTACTTTCAGATAAGAATAATAATTGATTATTTTGACTAATTATATGTATCTTTGTGTATTGTAAAAATTGTTAATTTTAGTATAGAGGTAAAACTGATTGGAAAAATGGCACATACGCAGGTGGCTTAACAGGTGGATTAATCGGCTTAAGGGGTAATTACAATCGTTCTTGCATTATAAATTATTCCTTTATGTATTCTATTTAATTGTTAAGCCATTTAATTTCCTATCATTCATTACAGCTGGTATAATGCCAGGAATATTTGGTGCTGCAGGTTTTGCAGCATTCTCAACAGCAATAGACTATTACATGCACAGATCTTAAACTACACAATTTACATTAATTAGAATATACATATATTTGTATAAAAAAGATATATAAAAGTTTATGTGTGTGTAATCACATATCTGTACAAAATTTGTAAAAACAGAAATATTTCAAATGCTCATAAAACTAGTATCATATGACTGAAAGATTGGAGACGTAAAATATATTTTTTTTAATATTAATTCACTGTCTAATATAATATGATAATAATTTATATGAACTTTTTTCCTATGTATAATCACATTCCACATATTTCGTTGCTTATATTGTATGAAATACAACTTGCACACTATATGTAATACACATAGAAAATTACAAAATTTTTAGCCACATTCATCTTACATACTATAATTTTTATTTCTATCGACGTACTGATAATGTGAATATCTAGAAATACATGTAGCTTTTTCCTATTATTCATATTTTATGTCATACAAAACTTAAAAAAAAAAAAGTTAAAAATATTCAACCAAGAAACAAAATACATATAGATTAAGTATATAAATATATTTAAAAGTAGCTTTGGATTTTTCTCAAAATGGTTTTGCACATTGTTTCTAAATCTTAATAATTAAGTAGTACAAGATTGCATCTCTCTAAATAAAAAGATGAAATATTGCCAACACATTCTTATGATTTGTCAAAAATATTTTAGAGAATTGTGTCAATCTTTTAAAATTTAGATTCAAGTTACATGAATTCTTACATCAATTCGAGATTTCTTATTTAATATTAGTATGATATATAAGTCTTATCTATAAAATATTTATTATGATATATTGCTCAATGGAAATAATGATTCTTTTTCTTTCTGCAAGTATCTATAACAAATGATTCATTGATTTCCAACAAATAGGTTACACATTTATGCAATATAAAAAAAAATTTCATTTCTTATGTATGTGTACATATGTTAATATTTAAACCATGATAATGACAAAAATTGTAAGGCACTTTTCATAATTCTGGTTTTTTTTTGTTTTATTACGTAATTACTTTTTACCTGAGATAAAATTCTTACTATGTTATACATTATATATATGATGTTTGAGATTTTTTCCTTTCAATAAAATATACGTTAAAGTATAAAAAAATTCTTCCTTCTCTCATATTTAAAAAAATTGCAAATAAAGTTATTAAAACTTAGTCATATTTTATATACTAGACACTTGCATTCATAATCTTAATCTTGCAATCTTGATTTATTGATCTTGTTTTATTTTTTCTTTTAAATGTATATGAGATATTTTTTTAAATCTATTAAACATATGAATAAATTTGATATAACTTAAAATTTTAAACAGTGTCATCAATAAAAAAGGATAAAACAAAAGTCAAATTTTGTTAAGAAAAGTTGATAAATATAAGCCATTAAATTGTTTTTCTTGCTAATTTTATACATGAAAACATTTGTTTCATATTATATCAATTTTAAGTTTTGATTATTTTTTTTAAACAGGATATTGATGGCTAACAAATATCAAGAACTCTTTCTTACATACAATGTACACAATGCATTTGTCAAAAAGTGAATATCAAGATTCTATGGTTTTTCATATTCTTATAAAATGTATCTGTAAAACGCGTAATGTGTATATCAAAATGAGATTATTCTTATAAGATAAATCTAGAAAAATAATACCAAATTAAAAATTCTTGGTCATGTAAATTACTAAAAAGTTTTATAAATCTTTTTGGCACTCATAACAGACTTTCCTCACATCGGTATAAAATGCATGTTTAATCAAGGTTGTTGTTGTTGCATCTGTGCTTGCATCACAGCCAACAATTCTTGCATATGTCTTATTTCTGCTTCCTTTTCTTGCAAAATACGATCCTTTTCTGACACTGTGCTATTCTTATCGGGATCAGCAAGGCTATAAAAAGAAAAAAAAGTTGAATATCGTGCATACATGAAAAAAAATGTAATAAACGAAATATTATACTTACATTTGACGTCGAGGCGGTACTGGAGCTCCTTTTGCCAATCTTTCACTACGATAATTTTCGTAATGTACCTCTTGTGTTACTTCCTGTAAATCTTGCATATGTGTACTATAAAATAATAAAATATTCTTATAGAATCATATGTACATTATAACATTATATAATTATAATATATAATTATAAGAAGAAAAAATAACTCACATCAACATCGTCCTTAATTTAATAAAATCGCAATGATCGGGATTCTCTACTTCAACAACACCCCATGAATATACTCGACCTCTTACTCTCTTTCCTTTGACTTCGATTAAGCTATTTGCACCACACACTGCAAATGGAACAGCCTCTTTTAATTGACGTACTTGTTCTTTGTAATCCTCATCCTCATCACTATCACAGTCTGGTAAAGGATATATTTTGATTCCACTGCCTTCAATCTCTTCCATAACTCTTTTTTTTAGACGCAAGACTTCCTTTTTGGTAAGTACATCGGCTTTTGCTATTACAGGTACTATATTAACTTTATTATGAAGTTGCTTCATAAACTCAATGTCCAATGGTTTCAATCTAAAAACAAATACAAAATTGGAGAAAAACAAATTTGTTTGTATAAATTTCATATGAAAAGTAAGCCAAGACTAACTTGATTAAAAAATAAATCTTAATTATAGAAATTGTATTTGTTTCTAATTCTACATATAATATAAAATAATTCATACCCATGGCCAAATGGAGAAATAAAATAAAAACAACAATGTATTCTGTTATCTACAATGTTTCTTCTGTTTAAGCCACTCTCATCACGAAGAAATCTTTCAAATTGATCATCTATATATTGAATGATAGCTCGAAAACTATCCGTGTTGTCGATTGCATCTCCATAACCAGGTGTGTCAACAACTGTTAATCTAAGTTTGACACCTCTTTCTTCAATCTCGACCGTTGAAGCATCAAGTTTGACAGTTTGATTGGTTTTCTCTGTTTAACAATGAATGCAATGAATATCTTAATTATATATAGTTGTATGTAATGTAAAAATTATGTACTTTAATATTATCCATCTAAAAAAAGGAAAAGCTATCGGAATAACAATTTACTTATGCTTACCCACTGCATCAGGAATTATTCGTTCAGGATACAAATCAGTGAGAAACAAACTATTTACCAAAGTAGATTTTCCAAGACCAGATTCCCCAACAACCATAAGTGTAAATTCAAAACCTTTTTTCACAGATTTTCGGTGCACTTGATTAGGTAAATTTGCAAATCCCACATATCCAGGTGTCTCGAGACTTGCAAACTTGGGAAAAGAAAGAGATATATATGTATATTTCACAATTACAATTACTCGAGAAGCGGAAAATAAGTGTGTATATTTTACCTTTTTTATATACTTTTATATTGAATTAAAAAATATACATAAAATAATAGATCTATATTTACGATTGCTAAGAGTAAAAACAAATACTAGAAGAATATAAATCATCTAATTTATGTTTTAATTCTGTCTAAAGATGAAAAATAAAAATGTTGAACACATTTGAACAGTAACAATGATCATAAGAACAAAATATTTTTCACTTACTGTTTTTACACTCTCACTCGACATGTCGAATATATCGAAAAAAAATTCAACCTACGTTTCTCTTTAAAAGTTATGAACAATTCGACTCAATTTCAAGATTAATGGACGTCACGTCAAATATGATGCGATACAAAGAATACAGTATGTACACGAAAAACAGGTTACTTCAGTTAAAGATATTCCGCTTTGATCGGCACATTATTCACGTACGAAAGTTTCATCAGATATGTTTTTTAGAAGTATAGTTTTAGAACGATAGCTACTGGAAGCGCGTTTAATCGTATCGTAGTCGAACTTGCCAAATAATGGAAAATTCCTCACAAATTTAGGGAACGGAGGCAAAGTACGCTATACACAGGATATAGCGTTAGACAGGAAGGATCTGGGCGCGAGAGGGTGGAAGTGGGGGAGGACATTATGAATTGGAGTAAGTTAAGGCGTGGCAACCCAACAGCTGAACGCTATTCCGTTATACGACTACAAAAAGAAAATTGCAATACAATTTTATCAAACTTCATATTCATAATGTTACAATCGATTAAATCTATAATGCATTTAGTTCTACATATTAATAATAAAAAAAAAATCATTAATAAAATTTGATATATATAAAAATATTACTTATAATATGTACACATATAGTTTATTAATATTTATTATATTTCGCATGTATATATATATACATATTTGTTGGTGGTATTTGTAATTAATTGTGTTTGCTTAAATTTGGATTAAGCAAATAAAATTTTCGATGAAAAAAAAGAAATATATTATATATATAAAAAACTTAGTACTTCTTATCTAAATTTACAGTATATTTAGAGATACAGTTTACAAAATATGAATACACATTGCATATATATTCACAATTACAAATTATATTTTGTATATTTTACTGTAACTGACATTGCTTGCTCTAATACACTGCACAGATACGAGGCAAACAGCTACTTTATTCAGGAAATAGTATCATATACAAGCATTGTTTTACATATATATAATATTTATTATTATTTCAAATTCTTGTTTTATTTGCTATTTTTTCGACGTTTTGCAATTCAACTCTTCAACGTCATTGTTAGCACAGTTAATTCATTACATAATTATTAATATATAATAATAATAATAATAATAATAATAATAATAATAATAAATCGGCGCATTCCCTTTGTATCGTTCCCAGAATGTAGAAATTTATTGAATCACTCGCATGTATTATATTTCATATATTCATGTATTATAATCCATCATTTGAGTCGATGAAAAAAAAATTATTTAGTAATATTAATCAATTCTATGCTATTATATATTATAACGAATGTATGATCACTTAATGATTGATACACACAATGATCAGTGTATAGTGGAAACGTAAAAATTCTATGGAAGGAAATGAAACCAATGTATGATCGCCACTTTTCTTTGTACTTCTTTAAACGCACACGCGCAGGCTAGTCTCAAATACAGATAAGAAATACTAGCATAAGATGAAATATACATGCCGTGACATTTTTTTATATTTGTGATAGTTTGTACACATACCCTCGATATTATTACAGACACAAAACCCAACATTAAATTGACACGAGTATTAAAATGTACTCAGCTGTGTAGTATCTTAATAATCATCGTTTATGTATATAAATCACTATCACTATTGGAGCATGCATTGTGCATACACACTTTATGTATATGTAGTTACAAGTATCCTATTTTCATTGAATCGCGAGAAGTTAATTTAAATACAAAAGACATTAGAAGAAAAATGTTTATTCTTGATTAAAAAATGCGCAAAACCTAGAAGAATTGTAATAAATTTATCATCTACATCAGAGCTGTCCATATTTTGCATATTTCGGCCGATTTCTGCGAGTCACGCATACGTCCCATTTATGTCTTAAGATCTTAACAACGAGTTACTTGATAATTATAAACAAGACGCGCAGTACTCTGTCTCATGTACTGTGCATCTGTACAATGCATCTGTAACGCGTTTCATGCTTAAGATCTCAAAGCGTAAATGGGAGGCGATAGAAGTTCTCACGGAAATCGTTTGAAATGTGCAAAATGTGGACAACTCTGATCTACATCATACCTTTCCTGCGGGTGACCCCTTGTAAGAGTTAAAAAAAGGACATTGCAATTTGATTGTAATGTACGAAGAGTCGCCACTAGATTTTTTAGGAAACTATAAGGGAATCTTGGATTGATTTTAAAATTTTGTCAACAATTTCAGTTTTTCCCTTAATTTTTAGGGAAATTGAGACTATATTGATGATATCATTAATTTTACTTTTCCAACATTTTCAATTTTTCTTCTCGAGGCTTTGCACCTCCATAAATGGAACTCGTTTTACTCGATTCGGCCATTGCATTTACAGGTTCTTTTACGGTCCTCGGTTTCAACTCCAAACGTTTTCTTCCAGTAGTATCTAAAGTAATCGTATAATATATAATCATATGTAATCATATATAAATAAAAGTAACATGAATATAATAAATATAATAAATATAATAAAATAAAATAATATAATATAATAAAATAAAATATAATATAATAAAATAATATAATAAAAAGTTTGCTTTAAACATATAATATGGAATTTTTATCTATGTATGTATATCTACCTGGAGGGGGAGCATCTTTTGGAAAAGAGTCATCAGGGAAGGGTTTTCGATCCGAACCGGTTGCACGTAATGGAGGTTTATTACTATATGATCTGCTAGATGCACTTCGTGACCACTCGCGATTTCCACCTGTGTCGTCATTAAATTGACCATAATTGCCTCTATTACTTCTAGAATCCCATCTATCATTACTTTGCCTACTACCTCCATGTGGGCCTCTATCACCATATCCTGCAATGAAAACATTAAAACATCAATAAAAACATTAAAATTATTTTATCATGAAAAAGTATAAGATTTTTAAATGAACCAACTCTTGTTTAACAATATAAAAGGAAGTATTTCTTTGAGCATATAAACATTAGCATTATATTTACATAATAATATAAACTTTTCATCAATTAATATACATAACCATCATATATGTTATGTATCATATTATTTACTAGAATATGTAGATTTACTATCAAAATCATCGCCATATCCGCTACGACCAGAATCTCGTCCTTTAAATCCGCTTCCACCACCGCTGCCACCACGACCTCTTCTATCGAAACCACCACCTCGATCATTTCGCTTTCCTTCTGCTACATCAATCTTAATCAGGCATTTATCTACTTCTACTGCTCCATCCATTTCCAATGCTGCTTCCAAGTCGGACAGATCTTCAAATTCGACATAACAGAACCCTTTAAATCTATAAATAAGATAAAGGATTAACCAATAATACAATATATATCAATATATTATTAATATATATCAATATATTTCTTATATATTAATATATTTCAATATATATCAATATATTTCTTTTTTATACAATACTCACTTGTCGGTGTCTCTGTCTTTAACCAATCTGATGACTTTGACATTAAGCTTTTCGAAAATTTTGTCAACATCACCTTGCACAATTCCATTTGGCAAATTTCCTACATATGCTGTATATGGAGGTTCTGTCGGTAATGGTTTTCTGCTACGGTGACCACTGGAATAATCTCTAAACATATAAAACAAATATTATTTTCATCAAGAAAAAAAAGAAAATATTTATTTTATTATTATTTTAATATTAGTTTATTCTATTAGAGATATTTTGTGATATATTCTATTATACAATTATAGATTATTATATCTGCAAAATACACATACACAATTATATTCTTATATTGTTGCATTTAAAATTTAATTTTTAAAAGCTGAAAAAAATCAACACAAGGTACACCATTATTATTATAAATGCATGTTGATACAACTTGTCAAAATGAATTTACTAGCGCGATATGTTGATAAGAAATCAGTTCTTTGTTATTGACTGCTTCTACAAAATCACAGTTTGCCGAACATTCATGAATTACCGCACATCCATGAAACAATTCGGAATATATAAAGATTCGGGATGTGACAGAATATATCATTATTCTTTTCTTACATAATTTCATTCTTTCAGCTGTATGCGTTTAGGTCGAAAAAGTGTACAAAATGGAATATTACAATTATAAATAAAGGCACATGAAAGAAAGTATATAATTGTTTAAAGAAAAACTATAGAAATGTGGCAGAGGCATCAAACGAGAAGGCATTTATCAAGCTCCTCGTTACTGCTCGCACTTGACTGCCTCACCGAAATTCCCGAATCACAACGTCGTGCCTGATTATCATCCTCTCCAGCGCGTGCAACGCACGTGCGCCGTTCGCGACCCTCGTCGCCTCTTTATCGCGGACGACGGTCGCGAATCGCGACGCGTCGTGCTCGCGCTAAAGCTCGACACCGGCCAAAATAAAGCCGCGTGTGTCGATGGCATCCCGCAAGGTGTTGCGCCGCACACACTCGCGCGTATACCTCGGCTCACCTTAACCTTAAAATTGCGAGATGCTCGCGAAAAACACGCGGCACCTTCGACGGCCGGACGCGGCGCTCATACGTCGCGAGCGCACTGTTCCCCGAGGCTTTTTCGTTCGCGTGACAAACGCGAATTATGCCGTAAATACGGCTGTACTTGCCTTGAATCGTCGTAACCACCTCGACCAGCCATATTGAATGCACGGAACTGACCGGGACCGCGTGAGTCGAAACACTCACCGTATCATGCGCATCATGGCGCTCTCGCTAATCGCTTATTACACGAGGAATTTCGAGTCTAGGAATTTCGCGCGGGTGCGGATGCACTCTTGTCAGCGAAACCGGCGTAATGACAGGTCTTGCGAAACCATGGGTCCGTTCTTTTCGGCTGCACTGCTGCACTAGTACAATTAGTTAGAGTGAAAGAAAGTATGTTTGTCTCTTTCTAACTTATTGCACTAGTGCAGCAGTGCAACTGAAAAGAATAGACCCCTTAATTTAAGCCTACGTAGACGGACTCGCTTGAAATGTGTAAGGTATTAGGTTTGTTTTTTATTCCTGAACTTTCTGCACTTTAACGTACACTAGAAATGAGACGTATCTATATTTAGAAGTTGGAAAGAAAGACAGGAGAAACAAAGAGTTCAAGAATAAAAACAAGCCTATTATACGCAACAAATGAAAAATTCGACCAATCGCGCGGCTAAAATGCAACTTCCTTTAAATTCAACGCGCGATTGGCTGATGTGCACGTAATGTCGCCAATAAAAATCTGCTGGATTTTTTGGACATTTTCAATTGAAATTGTTTTTTTTTTCAATGTTATTTTTTATCGGTATCTTCCTCATGAGAAGCACTGCAACTTTAATTTATAGTTTACTTTTACACATTTATTCATGTTTACGTTAGTCCAGCTCATAAGTGTGAAAAAAACTTTTGAAACAAAAACTCTATCAATAATTCTCTTAAACAGTTCTGTAATTTCGAGTTTTCATTATACAATTAATGCAAATTCGTCAAAAGATAAATCTTTTTATGCACCAAAAGATCTTCAATTAATAAAATTCTAAAAAATATTACAAGTCTTAATCTACTCAAACTTTTAGATTTAATAATGTAATGTTTATTGCAATAATGTAATGTTTGAGTAACGTTAATAACTTTCAAATTAGAGAATTGGCTGGACGCATAACATTTTTCTCATTTTTATCACGATTTTTTTAATCATTGCCGTTTTCATTTCATATATCTATTTACAATTCATTCATTTGATCAACGTAGTCTGTAGTCTTAGAATATCTGAAAATCAAGATGGATGATGAGTCGAACGCATTCACCGTACGTGCCACACGATATACACGTGTGGAGAAAGTGGTATTGGATAACCCTAAACGATAAAAAATTAACAGGATGAATTCTATCATATTGGATAACTTCGACAAACTGAAGAATAATAATGATTTTGTAAGATTAAACGCTGGAGTAGCGTTATTAAATCACTTATGTCAATATAATACGGTAAGATAATTTGTATAACCTCCTATATTTTATTATTTATACTTATATTTGCTAAAGAAATAAAGCTTATATTAATTATTCAATAAATTATCATGTTTACGTGATTGCAATATTGATTTAATTTTACAGGATCAAGATGATAAGGAATTAAAATACGCACTAAATAGACTAGTACGTAGTTTAGGATCATCGCAAACACTTGCCAGGAAAGGGAATTACACCACACTGACAGTTTTCTTAATGATGCATCCTGAAACTTCGATAGAAAAACTTTTATCCATAACAAATACTCAATTGCATCCAATTGGCAAAAATACTAAAAGTGTATGATTTTTATTATAATTTTCTATTTTGTGTTTATACTTTTAGTATTGTTATTTTATATTAATATAATATCTTTCTAAACTATTGTAGGAAAATGCTGATATATATATGGGACGTATATTACTATGTGGAGCAATAATAAGATCAAAGTTACTTGTTCAAAGTACTATTGAAATACAACAACAGATCACTGAGATTCTTTTGAATGCTGGCAAACAACGCAGTTATCTATCATTTATCTCTGTCATGTTTCTCAATGAGTTTATCATCCAGCTTGATATTGAATCTATGAAGAAAATTGTTTGGCCAATTGTCGAAAAGGAAATTGGCAAATCATGGCCTGAACAAACTTTGGATACATTTTACCTACTGCTTATTGTTGGCGACAAACATCCATCTCTAGTTAATCATAAGTTTTTAAAGGAACATTTTGGCGTGAAACAGATAATTGCTAAAGAATCTATGGAAAATATTGTTAAACTATTAACGGTATGTCATTAAATAGAACCTGAATAATCTCCAACAAAAATGAGAAGTGATATCTGAGATTATATATCATTTTATAATACTTATATGATTTTTCTATTATTATACAGGCTTTACCTCGAATTGTTTCTTATCAACATCCAGTGTTCAAATTATTTTGTCAAAAACTAACATTGACTGAACTTATAACAGACTTTTGGAAAGCTATTGATCAGAAATTTACAAAACCATCGAAGAGTGATGAATATATTGCTACAGAAATTTTACAATTGATACTTTCCAATATTACAGATAAAACTGTAATTCCATCACTATTGTCACCAAATTTCTTGCAACATATATTAAGAAGATTTTCTAACTGTAAGAGGAATAATAATGATGAAGTTTTAACAGCATTTAGAAAAGTTTTACATTTAGTGATATCTGCTACAAATGAAGATATCAAGACAAAAATACAGTTAAATATATTGAAGAAGCTTATATTACATCCTGGTGATCTTATGATAGAAAAGAAAACAGGCATTAAGGTGATCCAAAAAATCACAGCAAATCTGAAATTAGATGGCATTAAAAAATTATGTCAATTGTACAGAGATATTATAGAAAACAAAACAATTAAAGAAAGAGAAAATGTAAAAGTAGAATTATGGACAAATGCTGAGCGAAGTTATGCAGCACAACTATTAACAAGGTAAATATAAACCTAGAATAGTTATATAGCATAAAAATGACAATACTTATAAAACAAATAACTTACACAATACTTAATATGTATTTAGTATTTAGCTTAATATGTATTTAGTATATTATCTATTAAAAATGTATCTTTTCTATATTAAACATATCCTTTAACTGGTTTAGATTAATAGGACATCGAGAGGCACTTTTAGATCAAGAATGGAAGTTTGCACAACTGACATTTCTGTTCAATTATGGATTGTGTGAAGTGTCAAATGTTGGAATAGAATTAGCACGTATGTATTTTATATTTTTCTAAAACTTATCACACATTTATTTATGTACTAGAATATATTCAATTATTATTTTTAGCACAATTTAAAAATTCTTTTTATCGTGCTTTGGATCATAAATTGCCAAAGTTGGACGACATGCGAAATTTATTAAGTATACTCGTTCATGATTTGAACTCCAAATTACAATCCAATGCAATGAAATTAAGATCACCATTGAGTGATGCGGCATCTGATGCTTGGAGAAAAGCATTAAATTTGATTGAAAAACTAGAAAAGAATACAAAAAATGCAGTTGCTTTACCAATATTTCATACAATGAATTTACATATGAGTTTACAATTATTCTCAGATCCTGAAATAGCAATTATGTCAATTGATGAACTTCAATGTTGTTATGAAAGATTAATTAAAAAGTCCAAGGGACAAAAGTTTGCTGATGCACAAGAAGAACCACAATGGGTTGAAGTAATAGTAGATCTTTTATTATCTCTTTTATCTAGGAATAATCATTTATTACGCTCATTAGTTGATAGTGTGTTTCCACATATCTGTCCATATTTGACTCCATCTGCTGTTCATCAGATATTGGCTGTAAGTTATTATCTAATTAATAAGAAAAGAATTATCAATTTATTAAGTTTGAAATAAAGGATTCAAAGAAAGAAACAATATAACTTTTGTTTTAGGTATTAGATGTAAAAAATAATCAAAGTACACTTACCACAAAACAAAGTGATAATGAAGATTTCTCAGATATAGAAAGTGAATCAGATAATGAAGACGAAGGTGTTTTAAATAGTGAAGTTTCATCGAAAGAAAGTGAATCTGAATCTAACATAATTAAAGATGAGAATGATGATAATAATGATAATGAAGAGGAAGAAGAGGATGATGATGACGATGATGATGATGATGATGAGGATGACAACGACAATGATGATGATGAAACAATGACTGATAAATTAAGAATGGCAGTGCGTCAAGCCTTAGGTGATGCTGCAACTCAAACTGATGATGAAGATATCGATGTAGATCAAATAAATGAAGAAGAAGGCAAGCGGTTAGATGAATCATTAGCGGCAGCTTTCAAAATTTTACGTGAGAACCGTCAAGCTCGGTCTAAAAAACAAGAAAAAACGAGTGAAGCATTGACGCATTTCAGAATTCGAGTTATAGATTTGTTGAATATTTATTTAGGATCTTCCCCATCTATGGCAGTTGCTTTAGATATGATAGTACCACTTTTTGCTCTCTTAGAATTCTGTATAAAAGATCCGCATCAACAACCACTCAAACATAAAGTTCAGACTTGTTTAAAAAAATTATCAATGATAAAAAAGTTTGAAGATACAACAGGTGTTGATAATACTTTGTTAATGACAGTGTTAAAGGTAATTTTTTTTTATTTATATATGTAACAATTTTTCTTATTTATATTTTTAACAATTATACATAAATATAAATTTCTTAAATATTCCTTTTTAAGGCTCTAATTGAAAAAGGGGAGCGTTCTACTTTGATCTGTCAAGAAATAAGTGAAAACTTGGCTGAATGCTGTACTTTTCTTGTAAAATGTATGCAACAAGCAAATTTATGTAGCAAAAATGTTGTAGAACTTTATAGTAAAAATTTAACTATGTTTATGAAAAAAAGAGATTGCACACTTTCGCTTATATTATTTAAGAGTGTTCTACAACTATGCTGGGAAGATAATTGGCAGTTAGCACTTCTATTGGTATGTTTATTAAATTAATATATTATGTCTCATAATATCTCTTGTTATAATATATCATTTTATTTGATTACTTAGGTAAACTCTGCTTTTGATGGCAATATTCGATACTTCCGTAGAAGTCAGGCGCTTGAATTATTAATAACTTTATATAGAAATAATCGATTGTTGAATATGGAAACAAAAAATGCTGATGTAAAAATAAAATTCGAAACAATGCTTTACAAAAATACTTTAAATATGTGTAAAGAATTATGTAATTCGCATGTAAGCGATAATGGACAATTTATTTCATATAATGGTAACAATATACAAAAGAAAGTCCTGCAGAAATTCATTGGTCTTCTTTTAACATTGTTACATGCTGCTCACGCACATCATTTGCCACAAGTATGGAATTGGCAAAACATTAAAATGATACTTGTAACAATGTATGAAAATCAAACTATTTTTTCCGCGGATTTAAAAAATGCATATAAAAAGTTAGCAAAACAGATAGGGATTTCACTCGATGTGTAAGTATAATAATATAATTTGTGATTTTTGTAGAAATTCATGCTTTTCTATTATGTATATACAATTTGAAATTGTTCTGTATTTTTTAAATATAATTTTTGTTATTAGGAAATCGAGAAAGAATAATAAAAATGATAATCAGTTAAATGGCTCAACTGATATTCCTTTACAAAGTAATGGCAAACAAAACAATATTATGTGCCAAAATGGAAAAAGTAATGATTTAGAAGAAGAAGAAGAAGAAGAAACTATGCATAGTGATAACGTACACAAGAAGAAAAAGAAAAAAAATAAACAAAAGGAGAAGCAGTTATTAAAGAAAGAAGCACGTGAATTACGCGCAAAAGCAATGTCTAAAGATATAGAATTGTTTAAATTTAGCAATGTCAATTTATCAGAAAATGACATAAATGAGACGGAAATTTTTCAAAATGGACATTCACATGATAAATCCACGAATTCGAAATCGTTAAATAAAAGAAATCATGGTAAGGCAATGGAGGAAAGTCATGAACCTAAAAAGAGAAGAAAAAGTATCGATTAATATAATAAATGATAATATGTATAAGATAATGTATGGGAATTAACATAATAGAATACGCCTGTTTATTCCGGTTGGCGAAATATTTTTGTATGTAAGAAAAATCTGTGTATATGTAATATTAAAATTATTACTTTATAAAACAAACATGTGATTAGTAACATCACTTTGAATTTTTCTTTTTTTATTGATTGACTGAATATTCAGTTTGTAAAGCAAAGCTAAATTGAGAATTCTTAATTTTTTATGTCATTATTTTAAAATAAATGATTGATTTCCACAATTTTGTATTTTTGACATCTTTGATTATATACCTATACATTTACACAGATAACTTTTTATCAATTTACATTATACAATGTACATTGTGTTTTCAATTACTTTGCATACATAATATTTTGTTAATCTACTTTGAATTTTATATAATTATTGTAATATGTACATCCCTTCTGTAATGTAAAGATTTGTTATATTATGATAATTATATATATCATTTTTATATCTTTTTTTTTTTAATATAATATATAATATTTATATATACAGAGAAAAGAGAAAAAATTTAAAAATTATAATCTATCAATTTAAAATTGACTCTGCTGTAAGATATATAATTCATTTATTCTATTTTCCCATTTCGTAGTAGTATGATGATACAATTTTAGTATTAATTATATCGTTAATCAAATGTAAGTTATTTGCACTTAAAAGATATTTATAACTTTTTCAAGTGTTAATTAAATAACATAGATAATTATCAAACATTGTTATATAAGGCGTTCCACTTGACGTTTGAAATGCTCGTGAAACATTTGATCCACCGAAAATTAAATAAAGACAGATAATGCTGGTAAACGACAAATGGAACACTAAGAGAAGGGAGACAGTCGACAAATGTTACTAGTATATGGATATCACATAAGGGAATGGAGCACGCGCAAATACAATAGTCCAATCTCCGAGTAACTAGATCTATTGGCGCAAGTGAAGGTGATTTCTCGTCCGGCCGGAAAATTTTTCAGTTTCTTTCACTCCTTTTGCGTATAAACGTTATTCAACGATATGCTGCGTGTGCTAAGATCCAAAATAAAATTCCAACACCTGCGATGTTTCTCGTCTGCAGCTTTGCCAGCACCGGATGTAAACCCACCGATTTTATACACTGGTGTAAGTAAATTAAAATTCCGATAAGTAGCTGTATAAAAATGATTATATTCATATAATTGTGCAATTCATGGCAAGTTACACCCCATATCCTACTTATCAATGATGGACTATCGCATAAAAATGCTGATATGGCTCGAAGGTAACATGCACTATTTGTTGACGCAATTTTTTTGTATCGAATATAAGAATATCTTTCGGAAGAGGATTAGAAAATAAATAGACTGTTGTATGTTATTAAAAAGATATTAGAGAAAATAGAGAAGATATTAAAGACAATAGAGAAAAAATATGACGTCTGTGCGTGTTCTTATATTTCCTTAATACGTACATATTATGTCTTCTGGATGTCCTCTTTTGAACATGTTATTAAGATTATTATATATATAAAACTTATATAAAGCTTATATAAAAAATATATATAAAATTTTTTATTTAAAAGAGATTAAAATATATATATTTATGTATTCATATATTACTTATATATTTCGAAAAATTTACATTATTCGTTTGCAAATATCTCATTATTTATTACATTCGTATTTTAAATGTTGTATTGTATTATATATTTGTATTTTAAGTAAGCAATACTATCGCGCGTAGAAAGCATGGAGAATTGTATATAATAATTTTAAATAATGAAAAACAATATTTTAGAGTGTGAAATATTATTGAAATATTTTTTTTCGATCTTCGATAATCGATTTTATCGATTTTACATATTTAATTGTTACAAACAGACAAATCTCTAACGATTTATATGTATTATTCAAAATACATAAAATATGAGGAGAATATCTATAATGGCATGCTTATCTTAATTAGCATTTCAAATAAGACTGAAGTTAGGAAACATGCAGAAAATAAAATAGTCAGTTAGTATATCGTTAAAAGAAATGTCATTTATAAAAGACGTTTTTACGAGTCTCCTAAGATATTTTATGTTTTAATTTATGATGTCGTATTTTTTATGTAACAACCATTTGAGATTATTTTTAAATATTTGCGAAGATATTTTTCATCGAGAAAAAATTGTGCATTCGTTAACGCTAATAATGATATTTAATAAAAATTAAAAAAAATTAAAATTAAAATTTAATTAAAAACACTTGGCGCTGCCAATTTTATTAATATATTGTTCAGCTTAAAAGTCTAAATTTTCAAATGTAAATCAATATAAATTAATTAAATAAATTAAGTCATTAAATTTAAATGTTAGACTAATAATTAGAATTAATAATTAGAATATGTTTCAATTTTTTAAATTAATATTTAATTGGAATATGTGCTAATTTTATTGGCAGCGTCAAGTTTTTTTAATTAAATATTTTTTTATTTTCTTGTTTTATATTAATTTTCAGTTTAAAATTTTTAATTAGTGTCTACGTTTTACGATTTGTAGCAAGTCTTTAATGCCGTTATTAATTAGATTGCTATACATTGTTATTTAATCAAGTTCAATATATGAAAAATTAGGAATTTTTTTAAATACAAGGAGATATTTAGATATTTCTTTTTTAATATAAAATATTTAGGAACATAATGAGCAATTAATAATTTTAACGACTTTTTGTAACATATAAGATAGATATCTAATCTTTATTTTTTATTGGTGAAGAGACTAGTCAATTTATAACATATCTTATAAAAAAAAGAATAGAAACATAAAATTTATTTGATCTTATCATTATTACTTTTGTGTTTCAATAATTTTTGTAAGAAATCCAATTACATGATCTGAAATAATCATGTAACATAATTATATTTCTTGCTTTATAATATATAAGTATAAAATTAATCGTTATAAAAAAAATATTTTTTTGTTTTATTACAGATATTTGTCAATAATGAATGGCACAAATCCAAAAGTGAAAAGACATTTCCCACTATCAATCCTGCTACTGGTGAAGTAATTGCCGAAGTACAAGAAGGCGACAGCGCGGACATCGATTTTGCGGTACAGGTTGCTAATAAGGCTTTTAAACGGCATTCACCATGGAGAACTATGGATGCATCTCAAAGAGGAATTCTCTTGAACAAATTAGCAGATTTGATAGAGCGTGATCAGAAATATCTTGCGGTAAATTATTTAATATTTTTTTTCATACGATAATATTCTCTCTCTTTCTCTCTCTCATATTTATATTTATTAAAATAAATATTTAAACATTTACCGAATATAAAATAAAATGAAGATATTAGATCTCTAAGATTACGTGTCCCTCTACAGAAGTCGAACAATACGGAAATGATTAAGTTTTATCGATAAAAAAAGATCATATCACTCTACATATTTGGCTTTGGCTTAACGTTTCGAATAATCAGCCAATTAATACGTTATCAGCCATTTAACAAATGATTATTACGATTACATATTATTGATCTAATCACGCGCTCACTGAGCAGCAAACTGCTAAATTTCCAGATTTTTTTCAAATTTGTCCATCTTATGTATAACTGGAAAATAAATTGCCGCGAACTGAAAAGAGAACGCATAAGCATAAAATTTAAATATGTTTCTAAACAATCATTTTATTTGTCTCATAAAAATATTTGAAAACCTGCAACATAATACAGTTAATATAAAATAATGAAATGCATCGATATTATATTATTTATTATAATTAATAATTTTTAAAATAATATTAGACAAACTATGCTCAAAATAATCGGGCTTTCAAAAAATAATCCGATTTCTATGAATAATAATTCTATTATCTTTGTTATATTTTCAGTCTTTAGAAACTTTAGATAATGGCAAACCTTACTCATCTGCATACTATGTGGACGTTCCCTTTAGTATTAAAGTGCTAAGATATTATGCAGGATGGGCAGACAAGAATCATGGAAAAGTTATACCAGCTGATGGAAAAGTCTTTGCATATACTAGACACGAGCCAGTAGGAGTATGTGGTCAAATTATTCCATGGAACTTTCCAATGTTGATGATGGCTTGGAAATTAGGACCAGCTTTAGCTACAGGTAATCATGAATATTAATTATATATTTCATATTTATATTACTAATTAACGAAATACTTGCAGTATCTTTGGAATCATAAGAGTTCTCCATTGATTAATTAAATTTTAAGTTATCATTTTATTTCTTGTAGGAAACGTTGTCGTCTTAAAACCTGCAGAACAGACTCCATTAACAGCACTCTATATAGCACAATTGTCCAAGGAAGCCGGATTCCCTAATGGAGTAATCAATGTTGTTCCCGGTTATGGTAAAACCGGAGCTGCATTAGTGGTTCACGATAAGGTTGATAAGATTGCATTTACGGGATCTACTGAGGTCGGCAAGTTAATAAGTCAAAATGCTGCTATAAACAATTTAAAGAGAACTACATTAGAATTAGGTGGAAAATCTCCTAATATCATTCTTAAGGATGTTGATATGAAACATGCAGTGGAAGCAGCACATTTTGGATTATTTTTTAATATGGTAATTTAATATATTTAATATATTTATTGATATATAGTTTCCTGCATTTGATTTTTCCATTCTCTCTTTAGTGTTTTATTACTTATTTTTCTAATTTTTCTGTTAGGGTCAATGCTGTTGTGCAGGATCTAGAACTTTTGTTCAAGCAAAGATTTATGATGAATTCGTAGAAAAAAGCGCGCTTCGTGCCAAGTCTAAAATAGTGGGAGATCCATTTGATTTGAAAATAGAACAAGGTCCACAGGTATATCTAAATTCATACAATATATGGTAATATTAATCAATTTATATATAATTGTAATATAATTATTATTTAACCAGATTGACGAGCAGCAATTAAACAAAATTATGGATTTAATAAAATCTGGTAAAGACGAAGGTGCTAACTTAGTAACAGGTGGCGAACGTGTTGGCGATAAAGGATACTTTGTTGCTCCAACCGTATTCGCAGATGTTAAAGATGATATGACTATAGCTAGAGAAGAAGTGAGCATTTTAAAATACTTAAATGTTAAAACGTGATGTAATATGTTTATTAAAAAAATCTACACGATATTCTTTTTCGGTAGATATTTGGACCGGTTCAGCAGATTCTAAAGTTCGACGACTTGGACGAAGTTATTGAACGCGCTAATAACACCGATTATGGATTAGCTGCTGCAGTTTTCACGAAAGATCTCAACAAAGCGAATTATATAACGCAAGGTCTTCGTGCTGGAACCGTATGGTAAATTATATAAAAATATCGTAAAAAATATCGTAAAAAATATCGTAAAAAATAAATTGTCATTGAAAAAAGAATTTAAATTAATCGTTCTGTTTTCATATATAGGGTCAACACATATAATGATATCATTACTCAAGTTCCGTTTGGTGGTTATAAAATGTCTGGACATGGTAGAGAACTCGGAGAATATGGTCTTCAAGCATATACAGAAGTAAAAAGTGTAATTGTTCAATTGAGTGAAAAAAATTCGTAAATATTATACCAATGTGTCTGTGTAAGAATTTTTTCTTAAAAAAACATTTTTTTAGATTAGAAGAATAGATTCTAAGAATTTAAACTTTTCATGCACAAAGTATTATATTTTTTATAAGTTTTATAGGTTTAAACTTTTTATGAACAAATTACTATATTTTTACTACAGAAAAATGCTAAAAGATTATATAATTCAATTTTGAGAATTACCATTTATATAATTGAATTATTATTGTATTGCGTAATATAACAATAATTTAAACTATATTTAAACTAAAAATTTAGTTCAATCAATTTTAACTAAATTTAAATCTTTCTTGATCTTTCTTGATGTGATTTATTGCATATGAAATGGTATTGCACAATGCGCATCTTTGTTCTTGGGCATTTATAAAAATATAAATATTTTATAATGCACATTATGTATAAAGCATTTTTTCAGCTTTTTTTCAATTCCTATATTATTTATATTTATAATTGACATAGTATAATTGACATTATAATAAGCATCATAAGAAATATTTGGTCGAGAAATATACAATATTTAGTAAATTTTCCTATTACATGTATCTATGTCATAAAATATCTATTTTAGCTTTTATTATACAAATGCATTTATGTAAATTATGTATTGCAAATAATGTCTGTTTTCAATGTTTGCATTTCATCCTCCTCGAAGTATTCTTTACAAAAGTGAGATATAATACTTGCGCCAAGTGCATCGTCTATAACGTTGATTGTCGTTCTAAAGCGATCACTGAAAAATAATATATTTCCTTTCTATTACTCATAGATAACTTATATTTTTGTGAAGTTTATCTCCGATTTAAGAAAGGGAAAAAAATATTACTTTTACATAAAGAAAAATGATGCACTATACATGTAATACACTTACATAAACCAATCAGTAGCGATAATCAATGCGACATCTTCAACAGGTACTCCTATAGAGTTTAACACCATTATTAACATCATATAACCACCGCTAGGTATCCCAGCAGCACCTACACATGATACTGTACATGTAATACTGAAAACAAAATAACAAAGTTTTACATACATATAATTATACAACATAAAATTTTTAAATTTTATGCAGAGAATATTGCTCCAATTATTATGTCAGTTTAGTTGCGTCCTTTTTTTCACAAACCTGATGATTATTATTTTAAATAATGAAAATTGCAATCCACGTAATTGTATAATAAATATTGCTCCAATAGTCTCGTATAAGGCTATTCCATCCATATTTATTGTTGCTCCAATTGGTATAAGAAACTTTGTTATTTTAGAATTTATTCTCAAATCGTTTAAACATCGTATTGTATATGGAACTGTGGCAGTGCTAGATTATATACATAATTAGAAAATAAAATTTTCTCAGGGTTTTTTGTATCGATAACTTTTTTGTCTCTTGTAATACCTTGACGATGTTCCAATGGCTATTGCAAAGGATGGACCAAGTTTAGATATAATTTTATACGGTGATTTGCGCGTAATAATCCAATGAAGAAAGGGGATTAATACAAAACCTTGCAGTATTAGACCAGTAAACACAGTTAAAATGTAAAATCCGAAATGACTTATTATATTACCAAAATCATCGATTTCCAGAATTCGACCAGCTATAAGAAATGATACGCCTATCGGTGCTATTCTAAACAGAAAATTTTATCATTTTATTTTTGTATGCAATTTATTATAATATATACTGTATATATATTTTATATTATTACTGAAATATATATTATTAAAAAGTTAGAGAAATATATATATATATATATATATATATATATATATATATTATAAAAGAAATAAGATTAATATAGAAATATTGTAAATTTTTATCTTTAATTTTCAATAGTAATATAATATGATATGTTTTTGATACATACAATGTTATCCATTTCATAACTTTCATCGTAACATCAGTTAGACAACTGAAAAAATCTGATAATGGCTTTCCCGTTGTACCTATATTTCCAATTGCCACACCTAATAATAGACTATAAAATACTAAACCCAAGACATTTGTTCCTGCTACATATTCACTTGTTATGGGCCATTCTTCTATTGGTACTGTATTGAAATTAATATTTTTAGTTTTTACACAAGCATTGTATATTATTGCTATATGCTAAGCAGTTTAGCTATAATTAGCGATCTATTCGTTATCGTCCATTTCAATGTCATATATTTATGTTCTAGAATATTTAAAATTTTTTTTCTAATTACAACATTCTAAAATGTCTAGAAAATTTTTTCTAATATCTAAAAATTAACTTTAATTAAAAAAAGGTATATGATTATAAGTTTATTAAAAAACAAAAGATGAAAATAATTACATGAGCAATGTTTAATGTAATTACCTGTATTTGCATTAATTGGTTTTTCCAAGACGATTTTATACTAGAAAAAAGATGTACTTTTTTTTAATACTGCAGGTCAGTTATTTCCATATGCAAATTGTAATGAAGTATATACCTGATACATGCATGCAAGTACTAAATTATCAGGAATTAAATTACTGTAATATGAAAAAAGAAATGTAATATGCATTTTTTTAAAAATGAGATTTCTTCGAGATTATTTTGTAAAATATTTCTATAAACTGAAAGTAGAGAACTTTCTTTTTATAAAAAACAAACAATTCTATAGCTTTCAAATAAATTATTTCTAACTTGCAAAAATTATTTCAACACACTTGTTTCTCATTATATAATGTATTTTATTTTAAACTATTACTTGAGAATATATACTAATACTTGTGAGAATATATATTAATGTCATGAAAAAGTTCTAAACATGTAATAATAAAAATTTTGTTTAATAATCGAAAACAGATTATAGTCATTTAATTACCGAATTAAATCTAAAATTGTATCTGCTGTCGTAAAGGTTTTTATAGACACCGGCGGAATAATATCCTCTTTTCTCATCAATTCGCCCGGCCGAATAGTCTCAACAAGTATAACACATAAAATTATTCCAATCGTAGTAGTCGTTAAATAATAACATAATGCCATTAATCCAATTCGTCCTATATAATTATAATAAATTCTAAGAACTCATGTTTTACCTGTGCTCGACAATTTTTTATATATCTCTTACAATATATACACACAAATTATATATAAATAAATAAATATTTATATATATATATATATATATATATATATATATAATTCCGTATTTAAAAAAATTTAACATGCTTACCGGATTTAGTGAGATTACAAGTAGCACTTACAATGCTAGACACAATAAGCGGTAATATTAAACAATTCACCACTCTGAGAAACAGTTCTCCAGGAAATTTGAGATACATGATATTTCGATCAGACCACGATTTTTCGCTAAAATGTTTAAGACTCATACCGCATATAATCCCAATAGTCACACCGATTATCGTCGATATCAGATTATGTTTCGATAGGAAAAGCCTCAAATTGTTCATTGTAGTTGACTTTATAAGTTCTATACTAGAGCATTAAAATAATAATTAAGAATTAAATTTTACAATTTCGAAGAATCGGGAAACAATCTATAATCTAACGAATTTTTTAGTTCAAAATGATTAGAAAATAAATATAAGCATTTTTTTAAAGAAATTACAAACTGCGCGTATTATTATTATTATTATTAAAATATTCATGTATATTTTATACATAATAAATTCTGTAAATTAAAATATGTAAGCTAATGATGGAATTGCAAAATTAAACTAGCGTTAGATGCCAATGCGAATCAAATGCAAATAAGATCCACTAATATTTGGGAATATTAATGCAAAGAAAATAATTTAAGATGCGAAGATATGCAATAGCGAGTTCTTTTTTAATAATTACTAGCTACTAATTACTATTAAAAATATTAATATTATACATACATTAATAAATTTTAAACATCATTCATACTATTAAATATCAATTAGACTGAAGATAATTTCAGTAAATATATTTCTATTTACATTGCAAATATTATTTAGAAAAATGTCTTGCTCGTTTGTATCTAGTGTTAAACTCTAATTAACTGTATTTTTAAAATTGATTTAAAATCAAAAATTAACAATAACAAAAATCAACAATATATCCATTTTAATTTAAATATACTTACCTTATATATTCAAACACGTATCACCTTTGTTTTATTTATCTAACACTATAACATTAAAATAATATAATATAAACGTGGTTTTTGTAAATAATTTTTATAGTGTTAGACATTAAAATTATAAAACTTATTTTCAAAAATTATTTAAGTTGGAAATTTAACTTTAAGCTTTTAACTAGACTTAAAAAGTACTGAGCAAGTAGCAAGAAACTCTATCTTGAAAGACTTTAACAAGATATATTATCTAAGAAACTTCTTTTTATCAATGTTTTATCAATTGTATTTCAATAAAACTTACTTGACAACTGTAACAACTTTGTAATGACATGTTGTTATCATTATGTGTAATAACACATAATGATAACAACATGTCATTACAAAGTAAAAGTTGTTACAGTTGTCATTACAAAGTAAAATATAGAAAATAATCATGCAACGATGCCTCATAATAGTAACTTTGTCGTTAAAAAAAGTTACAGAAGAGGATAGAATAGACTGTGAATATATATTATCTTAATACCAATTGTAATTTACTACTTTTTCTTTCACTAACTTATACTTTCTTATCAAAACTTAAATCAAAGATGTTCAAGTGAAAAGTATTTTAATCAATTTTTTTTAGTCTAAGAGTCCAAGTTTAAGATAAATACACCTCTCATGATGACATTATCATAAATTAATCTTATCTCTCATGATGATATTATCATAAATTAATCTTATCTTAATAATATAGTGTTAAATAACTCGTTATTACGCACAAGTCTGTTCTGATGGCAATTGCGATGAAAATGAAATCGTTCATAATTGCATTTAATATTTCCTAGTTTTTATTTATTTCGCACCTATTACAGTATAATAAATATGTTGCACGAGACATTACAAGAGATTTGTATTTACACACGATCCTCATTTTCAGGCCATAATTTTACGTATTTGTAATGAGTCCATATTATTATACTCTATCATTTTTAATTTTTTTTTCTTAATATAATTTATACATATCTATACATTTTCTTCGGTTTAAAGTTACCCATTAAAAGATCACATATGCATTCTATTTGCATCCAGTCTTCTGAAGAAATTTTCATTATCTATCATCTAATCTGGCATTAACATCACGGCTAACATTTCTTTTTCTTTTTTTCTTCTCAAAATTTTAATAATGATTTTATGTAAGTATATATACAGTATATATCTCTCAAAAGCTGTTCAATTTCTCCCATAACAAACTTTAGCAAATTGATAAATTTTTTATCCGACTATTGCTAATCAAAGATTCGAGCAACAGAAGAAGTAGTTTGTTTGTTGTTTAAGATCGGTTCAGAGATTGGACAGCGTTTGTGATATACCCTGTATAATAAGTATTTTTACATACAAACATATAAATACATCCAATATGAATGTATGTATATATAAGTATGCGTGTATTATATTAGTGAGATCAGTAAATAATTTCGTTAACATTATGTTTATACAAAGTCATGTTTCATGAGTTTATATATCTATGTCTATATACTTTCCCTATGCAAATTAATATTTGGTTTTGTGTACTACGCGATTTCAATTTTTCACGCTATATCAGAATATTCATTCCACCTTTCTCTTCCTTATTCGAGGTAATTTGATTTTGCTCAAATAAACCGAGAAAAATTTGTTTATTGACTTTCGCTTTTTATTCGCGACAGATCCATGGTGTTGGCTTCCGGCTCTTCGCCGAGACAATCCGTAATGTACAGCCTGTATTAACGCAAAAAAATTTATTTTATTGTCTTTAAAATATAAAGATATATACTTTATACGATACTTTATAGCTCTATATTAATACAGAGATTGTTTGATTTTGATTTTATTATATGAAATTTGACAGCATAAATAGTTACTCGAAAATATTCAAATTCTTTTTTATGTCATAATTATTCTTTTTCATTTTTAAAAAATAATAAAATAAATTTTTAAATATCTAAAATTCTAAAACATATATCCGCCTTATAATAATGAATAAATAAAATGTCAATTATACTTGACGAAATATTCTTTAAAACTTGAAATGATATCAAAATATTTGTTTTTTGTAAAATTATAGCACTTATTGCAAAGCATTCCTTAAATATTGTATAGAAAATGACAAGTTGTAAATAGATAAATGAATAACAAATAATACCTGTCCCTACAAGGGTGTTTCCTTACGCGCTTCCGCCTTCCACTGGAATCCATTTACACGCGTTGTGATAGGCTTATTTCTATTCGTGGCATTCTCAATTCCATTTCTAACTCCTGCTACTAATCTCATGGCTGGATTGGATACCAAGCCATTACGCTTTGGCTTTAAATTACCTGCGCTGAAATGTAATATAGTAGCACTTTATGTAACATTTATAAATAATATACATGTATATATTGTTTCGTTTTGTCGAAGAGTTGACGTGAAAAGTTAAATGCAAGTTAAAAAGAAAAGACGCAATATATAGTAAGATTTTAGAAAAAAGTATCTCTCATTATATATATCGTTAATATGTCTGTGTTTCTGATCAGCTATACATTTAAAGTAATCAATTAATACATAGCATGATATATATATCTAACATTGTCGTATGTCCTCCTTGACTACATATTCTATCTTTTTTCACTCGGGAGGGTTGAAAAAGGAAGGAAAGCCTATCGCTCATGAAGCGGTGTGTCTTCCTTATACGACCATTGTGATTTCTGCAAAGTCTAAAGAATTGCATTGAAAAAATTAAGATGATAATGCTTTAAATTTCAATTGAAAAGATGGAATTATGTACATGTGACTTTTGGATGACATACACATAAAACATAAGATGAATATAAATGATATCTCTGTGATCTGATACTCTTGCATTGCTCGTGAATCTCGTGAATATGTGAAATGTGAATACTTAAGTACGTGAATACTTGAAAGAAATTTGTGATTGATGCATTTTCTAAATGAATAAGAAACACAATTACGATGATATTGTTAATTATGTGATATGATAAACGAATAGGATTTTAGTGTAGAAAAATGCTCACACTATATCAATTCCTTACCTTCCAGGTGTGTGGTCGGAAATGTGTTTCACGCTTCTACCAACGCCAGCGCCGCTATTTCCTAATATTATTCTCATATGAGTGTCTCGCGTAAAATGCGTATCTGCAGAATTTCGTTTCTCCTCGTGTCCGTTCTCCTTATCCTTTCCAATGCTCAAACCCAACATTTCATTCGTCAATTCAAATGGCTTACTAATGTTATTCCTGTCAATGATTTCAGTTTTGATCTTAATTGGCTCGTAAATCACTGGTACATGATTATATCCTCCTGACTGCGTTTTGTACGGCATGTTTGGATTTGCCGCTATTAACGATACACCCAACTGATTCTGTATCATATTAGCGGCCATTTGAGCACTGGGTGGACTCGTGTTTGTAGGTGAATAAGGAATAAGGCTGTCGCTTAATGGAGAATGAGGAGGTGAAGCGTATATCGGACTTTGCGGTTCGCTCTTCAAAGGTGACAATAGTTTACTGAGTGGACGACTTTTTGCTCCTCTTGAACACTGTTGTAGTTGTTGCGTAAAAGATAATGGCGTCTAAAATGATAAAAATTGAATAATGAGAAATCTTCAATAAACTAAATAGCTTGTGATATTTTCCTGAAGCAAGAACATGTATGCAACACACATGTAAATTATTATAATAAATAGTGTATAAAAAATAGTATAATAAATAGTGTATAAAATTATAAAAAATTGAATAATGAAAATCTTCAATAAACTAAATAGCTCGTGATATTTTCCTAAAGCAAGAACATGTATGCAATACACATGTAAATTATTACAATAAATAGTGTATAAAATTTTACAAGTTTTTAATTTGATTGCCAAATGACATGATGAGCACAGCAAAATCTATTTTATTTATATATACTTATCACGTACTTTAATTACCTGACAGTTAACCATTGAATTTTGGTTGAATTTTCCTTGATCGCTCTTAGTGCTGCCGGTTAAATTACTGCTCGATTTGCTGTTACTCGAATTGTTGCCTAAAGAGACGCAACTACGTCGTTTAGTGGAATCTGGCGATTCCGCTGGACTGTATTGCGTAGAGAGAGGATTTAAGATTGCCGATGAAGGTTTGGTTTCAGCTGTCGAATTGGATGTTACAGAAGTAGCACTACTGCTACCTCCTGAAAATTATAACAATTTACTTTCAATTTTTATTATTATAACATTATAAATCTATGATAAAGTAAAAAGAGAAATAAATATGCAAAAAGTTTTCATATTATGTTAAAATATTAAAGATTATGAAAAGAATCCTAGAAAAATAACTTGGAAATTTATAATCTTTCATTACAAAATGGAATATATATCTTTGTTCTTTTCCTAAAATCTATCTCTTAAATTTGATTACATAAATTAATTAAAAAGAATATAACCTCCATTGATGCCGGGTCTCAAACTGCGTTGATTGGCAGAATGTTCTTCTAATAGTCTGACAACTGTATCGTGACCACTTTTAGCAGCTACTTTAATGGCGTTTCGTCCACAGTGATCGGAATGATTCGGATCAGCTCCATGATTTAAAAGCGCTCGGACGCAATGCTCGTGTCCTTCCTGAGCAGCAATACCTACAAAATACATTCTCTCATTAACTAAAATATTACTGTCTGATAGTTTAAAAAATATTTTCCACAGTTATTATTCGTTTTATTTATACATTTATAAATTATTCATGAATGACTATACCTAGAGCTGTTGCACCTTGATTGCACGTGTGATCAGGAGTAGCACCATGTTCCAGAAACAGTCTAACAATCGCTGCGTGTCCTTGCCAAGCGGCCGAATGAAGTGGCGTTCTATTCTCATTATCGCAAGCGTTTACGCTAGCTCCACCATCTGTTAGCAACAAAGCTACCATTTCCACGTGTCCTTGCCAAGCGCTTACATGCAACGATGTCCTACCCTGTAAACAAAAAAATGTAAACATATTAATCGTTATTAATTTTTCTAATTGCAATTTAAAATAATTATTAAGCTTTTTTTTCAAATATAACTGATAATTACTTCTGAATCTCTACTTTCTATATCAGCGTTT